TTATTAATCTTGCCGTATAATCTTGTGCATTACTGAAATGAAAGAAGAATATCAGATTTCCAGTAGTCTGTAAGATATGTTACCTTTTCCCATATAGATTTCAGTGTAATGATTAATAACATTTCAGTGATAATAAATGGTCTAGTAACCTCTAATAACAATAAAGTTCTAAACAGTGACATCTTACATTCATATGACAGTGATGAAACCGTTGAGGCTAATGCAAGGAATGAGAAAGAAGCTCCCAAGGAGAAAGTTACTGATTCAGCAACAAGTGCTTCAAAGAACAAAGGAAACCACACTATGGAGATATTGGGTTTTTGGACTTTATCCATTGTCCTGGTTTTTAAGATAACTAAGAAAAACACGATGTTTCGGAAACTGGATCTGTTTCCGTCCTCAGGTGAGGGAAAACACCTATTCTGTTTGGTCCCTTAGGAAGAGCTAGCCTCAATCACTGGTCCAATGCAGTACAGTACAAATGACAACAGCACACATGTAAACTACACGACTAATAATAAGAACATAAAGTCAAGAGAAATAAAAGACATCTCCCATCATCAGGAGGAAAACAACGAGACCCAATGTCGGCTCACGATATTTTAACATAATAACTAATTTTTTACATGCAAAAGAAAATTTTAATACAATTTTAAATACATTGGGAGGCTAATGTATGAAAAGTGAATATCATATTGCGTGCAGTGGAAAATCCCAGTCAGAATACCCAGCAAATATGCCTAAAAGAAACAGCATAATACATAAGTCTACTCTTCAAGAAGCGCCATTGTGAATGCCTGGGACAAACACCAAAACCAACCGGGATAATAAAAAAATTTATATAGTGAGCATTATTCATAGCTTAAGTGCATATAGTTAAAACATCTTATGTGACAGTGTTTCCTGCTCATAATGGTGTGCCTCTGAGGATGATTCTTTTGAATCGAAACATGTAAGGTGAAAAAGACTGAAGTGTTGTAAACTTGTATGTCACACTGGACTGAAAATTATCCACTCTGTAATTAGTAGTGTGATGGACCAAAATGAGACAAATCAAATTAATATATTATTTGTAGGGATATTAATATAAATTACCTTCTTGATAGTGAAAAGAAAAACAAATTAGATACCTTATTGAGAACTTATAATTTAATAAGTACAATAAAGTTTCCCACCACATTTCAAGGAAATTCTGCTACAGCCACTGATAATATTTTCATTGATATTACTAGAAGGGAAAATTATTCTATAAGGCCTATAATAAATGGATTGTCTGATCATGATGCACAATCCATAACATTTAAAACAATAAACATGAGAACACATGCTAAACAATTTAAAATAATAAGGAAAATAAACAAACACACAATAAATGACTTTTTAATTAAACTAAGTTATGAAACATGGAACTCACCATTTTCTAGTGATGATGTTAATATAATGTTTAACTCCTTTTAGACACCTATTTGAACATTTAGTATGCCAGTTTGCCAAAAAAAAAAATAAAATTTCAAATAAAATAAGTGATTGGATTACTATAGGAATAATAACATCCTGTAAACATAAAGGAGTACTCCATATGGCATGTATAAACAGTAATGATTCAGAATTAAGAAACTATTATAAAAAATACTGTAAAATTTTATCTAAGGTCATCAAGGAAGCTAAAAACTAAAATATGATAACGAAATTCTAAATTCCAAAAATAAAATTGAACCGTATGGGATATAATAAAATTAGAAACTAATAAGGGGCCAAAAAATGAAAAAAAAAAATATGCACATTAAAGGTGGATGGAAAATGGATTAGAGAAAAGCAAGTAACTTAAGAACCCTTTAACAGTTACTTTTTAACTGTAGCTGGAAATAAAAATGCAATAAATAAACAAAATAATACTAATATTAGTTACCTTCCAGACACTACTCCCATTCAGTATTTAATGAAAACTTTTATAAATCCCTTTCCACATATTAAACTTAAATCTTTATCAACTAAGGAAATTGAAAATATAATTAAATCTCTCAAAGCAAAAAACTCTTATGGATATGATGAAATATCCACTAAAGTATGAAGAATGAGTTCCCTTTTCATTAGCTCTCCTTTGACTCGCTTATCACAAGGAATTTTCCCAGATCGTTTGGAATACTCAGAAATAAGGCCGCTGTTTAAAAAAGGTGATAAAGATTTCCAAATATAGACCTATATCACTTTTAACTTCGTTCTCTAAGGTATTAGAAAAATCTATGAGCATTCAATTGATTGAGCACTTGAATAACAATAACATTTTGGTGGAAGAACAGTTTGTTTTTAGAACAAAATCTTCAACAGATGAGGCTATATACAAGTTAGTGAATGAAATCTGTAAGACCTTAAACAGCAGAAACTTAATAGGAGGCATTTTTTGTGACCTAGAAAAGGCCTTTGATTGTGTTACTTGTAATCATGAGATTCTGTTGTCGAAATTGGAGTTCTATGGGATAAAGGGTAAAGCTAANATTTCTTGGAATATTCATTGATGACACAATGAGCTGGAAATATCATATTGAATATATTAATTCTAAACTAAGTGCAGTCTGCTACTTAATAAGATCGCTTAAACCATATACATCCATAAATACCTTAAAAATGGTTAATCACTCGTATTTTAATTCTATTATAAATTATGGTTTACCCTTTTGGGGTAACCCACCCCAAAGTATAAAAATTTTTAGAATGCAAAAGAATATAATTAGAATTATGTTGGGACACAGAAGGAGGGATTCGTGCAAGAACTTATTAAGAGAATTAGAAATCTTACCTCTGGCATCTCAGTACATACCATCTCTTATGCTCTTTGTGATAAAAAACAGAAACAAATTCATAGTAAATTCAGAGATTCATAGAATAAATACCAGACAGCAAAATAATCTCCATCAGCCTCTTGTAAATTTGAGTAAATACCAAAAGGGAGTTTACTGTTTAGGAACAAGGTCTATAATAATCTACCACAACATATTAAGGATATATTGAGTGTCACTAAGAGTTTTGAGGTACAATTAAAACAATTTTTATATTTACATTCTTTTATTCTTTAGAGGAATACTTTTGTTATATATCTTTTAAGATGTGAGTAGTTGTCTTGCTTTACAATTTAAAAGAAGACAAGATTGTCAGTCTGTGTTCTGGTTTTAGATGCTTATTTTAGATATACTCAATCTTTATATTACTGTATACTAGTGTTTATTTCAATTTATTATAAAATTAATGTATGTTATACAAAACTCATTAATGACATTGTATTTTAACTATTGCATTTTTAATTAATAGACTTGTATAAAACTGTACAAATTGTATAAGGTTTGCCATTACTTTTACTACTAAAATTAACTTATTTATTATATTGTATATGTTTATCAGTATTTTATACAAATGTGTATGCTACTGGATGACAACTATAATCCTTAGTTGTGATTGCAACTAGGGCGATCTCAACATCTGCATGAGAATGTACTCTCAACAGGATTTATGGAAGGTGAATAAATGAAATTAAATGAAAAGTATTCATTATGACTCTGTAAGGCATGTAATTTTGCCATATAATCCTGTCCGGTACTGTACTGGTGACCATCATTCTAATAAAATGAACAATAAATGGAAACCTTAGTATTATTACTTGCTATACATGATTTATGATACATTAATGTAACCGAAAAACTATGTTCTGTGTGGCTTTCAAGTGTAAGTTAGACCAAAGGTATGAGGTTAAATAGAAGTATGTCTGATGGAAACAGATTTTTTTTCAAGTTTCCCCACTTTCAGCTTTCCTAAACACTAGTATTCTAAGAATGTTATACGTAGTTCACAATGTCCAGTGCATTTGGTTAAGGTGTTGAATTGATATAAATGAAATGTTATGACTTTACGGGAACTGGTGAGAAACTTTCTCCCGAAAAATAATTTTGCAACTCTGACGCCTTGTACTGCAGAGGATCATACTCCATTGTGTTCACTTCACTTGAATACCTTCCAAAGGTTATGAGTGAAGTAATATTGAACCCAGTCTCAAGTAAAAAAAAAAAAACGCAACTGAGTAAGAACCTCTGCAGCACAAGAGATGTGGTTGCAAAATTTTTATTGCTATTCATGTGAACTCTTAGTTCTGAATGTGGTGAAGGTAGGACTAATAGGGTGGAATAGTAGCATTCTATTTTATGGATCATTCTGTCGGTGCTGGTGACCATAGCTTATTTAGTTAGTAGGCACCTGCGTAGAGATGGCAGCAGTAATGTGACGTGACATCACAGCGGTTGCCTGCCAATTACGAAGAGTTTCTGGGGGGTGGGGGGAACTCTGCCATCTCTCTCCATCTCTGGAGAAACTACTACCAACAGCCATCGCTATTCACTCAATCTGTGGAACAGGGAAATTGTACTCCCCCTTCGCCCCGCGTAGCTAAACACAGCTAAGAATAATGTTGTAAACCCAGGTTCCCTAGCAGCGCAGAGCAACTTACTCCGTATTAAATATGAGTACTTACTTACTTACTCATGGAGCTGAGCCCTTCTGGATGAGCCGCCAATTCTGCAACTACTCAAGAATTTCCCAGCATTTTATGGAACCAAAGGTTCATTACCGTGTTCACAAGAGCCCTCCACTGCTCCCTATCGTGAGCTAGATCAGTCTAATCCATACCATCCCATCTTATCTCTCTAATATCCATTTTAATATTGTCAACCCACCTACGTCTTGGTCTTCCCAGTGGTCTCTTTCCTTCTGGCCTTCCCACCAATATCGTATACGCATTCCTCGACTCCCCCATTCGTGCTACATGCCCTGCATTAAATATGAGTATGTGGGTTTATTTAATCACACCACTTCACTCATGTCTACTAAGAGCGATCAAGAGGATCAAGAGCATCAAGTGGATATTCTCACCAGCTCACCAGCGCTCAGTAGTCCATTTCAGAATTCAACCATTGCAAGCTAAAATCTATCGATTGATGACGTAACACAAAGTTGGAGAAAAGTAGTGCGTATAAAATAGGTGTTTCTAGTAACGAATGCTGTACGAACACATGTTATTAACGGTACAAACTACCACTGTAATCAGCATTTTTAGTAGATACGGCCGTTATCATTCTTTTGCGTTCTGAGCGTAGGAATATTGAACAGAACGTAGTAAACTCATCTGTGAAGTCTGTGAAGCATGTCGTTTGACGCTTTCCGTCGCTTTGATTCGTAGCGTAAGGCGAAGTAGTAGTTCGTGCTCGTGGTGTATGCAGAATTGCAGTTTACTTCTATGTATTTCTTATAACGTTTAAATATTTGTATTTGAATGCGTTATTACAGCTACGAATATTAAAATGGGGCGATCGGATCGAAGAAGGTAAGCGTAATACTCTTTTGTATTAGCGGACAGTTTGTGGCTTTTTCGTCAGCCTAAGAAATTTGTGTTAGCGGCTCAAAGTATGGTGTGTAGGTAATTATGATCCAGAGATCCCATATCCAGATCTAGTAAGAACACCGCAGGATTTCCATTTCCATTCATTGTCTCGCTGTAGCTAGCGAAGCAGTCAAATTGAAAAGTAATATTCACAAGTCAAGTGCACCGTTTGACTCTTGTATAAAGACCTCCGTTGAGTCTATTGATCCACATTGAATGTATAACATAGATAACATTACTGTAGGCCTATAGCAACATCGAATAATTAGATAACCTGGAATATAATAAAACATGAAACAGGCAAATCACATCTGACTGAACAGATACCATCCCCTTATAAATGGTGAAAAAGTTTAAGACCCAGGAGAAATTGCAGATGCCTTCAATACCTTTTTTCTGACAATTACAGAAACTCTAAACTTGCATCAGGAAGTGGGAGATAATGTCATTTCATTCTTAAGAGAGGCATTTCCTAGAAAATTCCCTGGTATTAAAACCATTCCAACCACTGAAACTGAAATAAAAAGTATAATACATTCCCTCAAAGCGAAAAACTCTTCAGGTTATGATGGAATAACAAGTAAGATTTTAAAAGTTTGTGCATCTAATCAGTAGCCCATTAACTCACATCTGTAATTACTCACCATCCACAGGAATCTTTCCTGATCGTCTTAAGATTTCAGTAGTAAGACCACTATATAAAAAAGGGGATAAGACTAGTATGTCAAACTACAGGTCAATTTCACTATCTACTTTATCTAAAGTACTTGAAAAAGTTATGCACAATAGGTTAAGCCATTATTTTCAGAGTAACAATATACTAGTCCCAGAACAGTTTGTCTTTGGGAAAGGAATTTCCCTTGAATATGCAGCCTTTAAGTTAACAGACAGTGTGTTGAAATCTATTAATCAAAAATGAATGTTGGTGGTATATTCTGTGACTTGGCAAGGGCTTTTGACTCTGTAAATCATGAAATTTTATTAATTAAAATACATTTTTTTGGCATTCAAGGAACAATGTTAAGTTGGTTCAGATCCTACCTAACAGATAGGGAACAAAAGAGTGAAATAAAATCATCAGATTCAATAGGTTGTTGCCGCCAGTAAACTTGTTGTTGGGTGTGATGATGCATCATATGGGCGCAGGATGTCCAGCTCCAGGATGAACTCGTTCATGATATTGGTGATGAATAGCCAAATTTTGAGTGGGTGCTGCCCCAGTTTCAGTCTTAGGAAAACTTCCTTTAACACTTCGCGGACCGGCGATTTAAATATTTAAATCACCCTGGGGACCGGCATTTTTAAACCTACTACCCTAGCTTATGCACCGTTCACTTTAAAAATTAATATAAAATCTCCTAATTAATTTTATGAACTAAAATTTTTGGAGAACACTTACCAATTCTTCTAGAAGTGCTTGAGAGTGTGAGATTTCTGGAAACATTCCCTTTTGTGAAGTGGCATTGCACAGAACTTGCAATGTAGACAGTCATACTCCATTTTCTTTTTGTGAACTGTGCAAATACGGCACTGCCTAGAAGGATGCTTCTCCTTGGAATGTTCACTCTTCACAGTTTTTATGAGGGTATGTTTCACCATATCACCCGAGAGTTGCCCAGGGGTGTCCACATGAGGATTGCGTGCGGTGGGAGTTGATGGGCCCAGTCGTACTAAGTCTGTGCCTGACTCTGGTTCTGCCGCCACCATCTAGTCTGTAGCCCAGGCCTTTGCCACATTCATCAGAAATGCTTTGTATTTCAATTTCGAATCAGGGTCTAGATTTTTGTAAACCAAAAATGAATTGAAAATGGCACAATTTATAAGCTACAAGGCAACTTTCTTTGTCCACTTTATTATTTTCCTAGGAAGAGGTTAATAGGCCAAGTACTGATTGGCTCTGTCAACTCCCTTCATGAACATATTATACTCAGAAATACCAGTAGGCTTCTTTACTTGTCCGTGTCTTCTTTGAACATCAACCATGCTTGAATTGTAAATTGTGGAAATCATATTCACAACATGAGTATCCCTATCTCCAAAAAACAGTTCTTCTACTTCAGACACTTGTGTTGGGTCCGATGGAATTTGCTTCACCCCTGGATTTTCAGTAAACTGTCCCAAAGCAGGCGTTTTGTCTACTTTTCCCCATGTGGCTGTCCCCGCAATGTTGCTACCCGCACTTTTGTCAGAGCTACTGTCACTTTCACTCTCACTGTCTGTGGCCACAATTTTTTGTTCGCCCCTGCCACACTCACTATCAGATTGTGAGTCGCTATCACTAGCAGAGTTACAAGGGACGTCAGATATTTCTTGTTCTCTGAGAAAATGCTTGGACCTCAACCTCTCCGACCTTGATCCATTTTGCACTAGTAACTTCCTGCCTGGTGCATGCACCTGGAAGATGAACAAAGGCATTTTCTTTTGGAGTGGGAAAGGTAAAAAGTTGGGTCATAAACAGCGGGGTCATGTTACTGACTACGAAGCAAACATTCAAGAGGTCTGTCACGCACCAGTCATGCGTCTGCCTGGCGCCAGTGCAAGGTATAGTGTGTTTCAACATAACATGTCCTAAAATCATAATAATATGCCACTGGTCCGCCACTTTTAAAAGCGCTGGGCATTAAAATATGTCACCGGTCCGCAGAGTGTTTTAAGATGGGAGAGATCTTCCGCAGATACCATCTGCAGTGTATAGTGTTTGTTTGGATGTTTTTTGAGTCATCCAGCAGCAATGTTGGGCCTGGTGACAGGCACGTACATCCTATTGTCAGCTACCAGGGGACATGGTTTGTCATCGACCCAGCCTTGTGTGACTAGGCTAGGGTCGGTCCTTTCTGTTATGACGAGGGGGGGGGGCTAAGTGTGTATGTTGGTGTTGCCCCTTTGTTGTTGGCCATCCCACTTGTTCCTGTACCTTGCCTTGGAGTCTGGCATTGTTATGGATGATGCTGGCTATCATTCTGATGTGTTTCAGAAGACTTCAGTTACAAGCTGTCATAAAAGCTACTGCATGGCTGTCCAGCAGAAACATTCCATATTCTGCTACCGAGACACAAGCAGAACTAAAAAGTTTTGTCTTCTGGAATGTAATGCCATTTAGTTCAGTGAAAGGCAACTGAAATTGTCTAGGAAATTTGGATGACCTTTTAAGTGTTGGTTGATTTTCACCAGACTCTGCAGCATTATATCCCAGAAGATAGAGCACTTCATAACCACTGCTGTGAGAACTTCAAATTACAAATGCAGAACTGTTGCAGTTTTTTAGAATGAGCAAACCTTGTGGTTAAGAAGTACAAACTAGATGACATTGTAGAAAGTCATTGTGTAATGTGTTTACCTCCTATCTTTGCTGATGTAATTGTATTGAACTCATGGGCACAAATGATATTGCACATTGCAGAAAGAAATAATACACTTGAAATGCACTTCTCATAAGTATATCTCATGAAGCCATATACAGTACTGATGTTTTAGTTTGGAAAAATTGTGTCTGACATTTGGAGGTCCTACAGGAGGAGGATTATGTGAAATAGTGCAAGACTAGCTCATGGAGCTGCTCATTGTCTGATGGAATCAGATTCAGATGGATTTGGCAGACACACTGGTTGACCCGTTCTAAATACAAGGCAATAAGTGTCATTAATTATGTTGAGCAAATAATGGTGATATTGTGATTAAATTCTTAACGACATGTGATGTCAGTAAATTAATACATGGAAACATTTGAAATTGGTAGCTTTGTCTTGCAAGGGGGCCCGTGGTAGCGTAGTGGTTAAGGCACTATGCTACAAGTCGGAAGGTCACGGGTTCAAATACCAATGAGGTCTTTGAATTTTTTTCAGTTGAACCCAATCCTTCCGGCTGCACTATGGCCCTGGGGTTCACTCAGCCTGTAACAGAAATGAGTACCAGGAATTAAATAAATAATTTTCCTTGGGAGTAAAGCATGGCCGTTGCGTAAGGCTGACAACCTTACCGCCATCTTTGAGCCAATTGTCTAGATAATGTGGGACTGTTAATGTCTCACAACCCCATGGGCCTTCATGGCCTGTTACAGGGATAGCTTTACTTACCTACTTACTTTCTTGTCTTGCTCAGTGCACTCAACCTGCAGGCTCCTATGCCATCTAGTTATGTTGGTTCCTGCTCTAAGGCAAGGTCATATCCAGAGTTTGGATTGCTGATTGGATTTATTGGACTCTTATAACTCGTAACTACAAAAATATGACACTACTGTTAATCTACAGACTTAACAAACCAGTACTGCATGTGCATAAGTCTCAGTATGTTATGTCTTCTCTGGTTGTTGCTTGTAATGACGCTCAACAGTGTCTTCTGCTTACATTGTTGCTGACTGTTTACCATGTCACAAGTGGTCTTTAGCTGTCAACTCTGCTGCCTTCCTTCCTTCCTTCCTTCCTGACTGCTTAATTGCTGCTGGTCTTCGCCACAACAGTGATTCTTGATTCCAAGTCCTGTGGGACTCATGACCATATTTTACTGTCTGTATTTACCAGGCAGTGGCAATCTTCGTCAGTCATGTAACAATATCTGTGGTTTACTCACCCTTAGCTGCCTTCCAAAAGATACCAGCCTACGGGCGACACGCAGCTGCCAGCACCGTTGATAATATATTTGCCCCATCAGATCAGTAGAGTTAGATGTTTCTCTCAGAGATACAGGTAGCTTTCGGTGACCAGGATGAAGGGACACGCTTCTGGAAAGATGAACCTCTACACTGCTTGAATGTAATGACTTCAGTATATTTTGCTATGTCGATATTTATATCTGCAAAGTTAAACTAGTTCTCCCTGAGACTTGTACTTTATTAGATCACATTTCCATCATAACTAAGTGTCTTCATAACCTTCTCACTTTCTTCATGTAGATACCTCACGCTGGAACATCACTTTTAAACTTCAAAAATAATATCCTAACTGCTCAACTATATTCAATTGACTCACAGTATCCACTCTCCTAATCACTGACCAACCAAAAAAAAACCTTTGTCTCTGACTGCCCTATTATAACCTCAGGTAACCCGGTGTCACAGCCCCAAGTGGTCAACATTAAGGAAGGGTAACAGTTGGATTCTAATGCTGGGAGCTTTTCCCACATTTGGTGTCTAGCTACTAAGAGTGGTTCCCCGAAATTGTCCCACATTTGGTATCTAGCTACTAGGAGTGGTTCCCCAAAATATCCTTTTACCTAAAACCATGGTGGAAGATAATATTTAAAGCAAACTGATGACGCTAACGACACTGGTGGCACCATGGAGAGGATACAAGACTCAGGTGAAACATACGAGGGTTGGAACTTTAATAGTGGCAACTATTTATTTACAACTGATACAAAATAGATGCATATTTTGAAGTTTCACTGTACTTCATTGTAGTCACCAGCGTTGTGTACAACCCGTTGCCAGCAATGTGGAAGTCGTAGGATACCTTTAGTAGCACCTGTTGTGTTGATAGTTCGAATGGAGCGGTCTACTGCCTGAAGAATCTCTGGAACAGTTCTGAAGCGAATGCCATGAAGTGGTTCCTTCAACTTAGGAATCAAGTCGAAGTCACGAGGGCTTAACTCCAGCGAGTATGGTGGATGATACAGCAGTTCCCAGCCCCATCAATTGAACAATCAGCCACAGCTTGCGCTGCATGCGGCCGAGCATTGTCCTGCAAAATGATGGGTGGGTTCTGCAGAAAGTGTTGCCGCTTCTCTCTGAAAGCTGGTCGCAGGTTGTGTTCCAAAAATGAACAGTAATACTGTGCATTGACGGTCTGCTGTCGGGGAACGGTATGCATTAGGGCTGAAAAACACACAGCGACATCGGTCGTATGATGTCTGTATGGTTCATGTCACATCAAGTAGTAGAATATAAAGTGTAGTCTTAGCTTTCATACGTGACGACATGCGACATCTACCATACGACAGTAGGAGAGCAAAGAAATGTATTTGGTTGCTCTAGTGTGAAAAGGAGGTCGTACAACATTTTTCCATATGACCGATGTCGCTGTGTGTGTTCCAGCCCTTAGGATAACACCATCACAGTCGTAAACGAGAATCACCATAACTTTCACATTGCTGGGGTTCTGACGAACTTTTGATTTTCGTGGTGACCCGTAATGACGACATTCATTCGATTGGCGTTTCATTTGTGGCTCGTACGATTTGGCCCATGTCTCATCCAGCGTAATGATACAGCATAAGAAAGCCTCTCCTTTGCGCTCATAGCGCTCCAAGTGGTTACGAGCAGCGCCGTATCGTGGCCATTTCTGCATTTCCGTTAGATCATGTGGAACCCATCGTGATGCAATTTTTCTGATGCCCAGGCATTCCTTCAGAATGTGAAGCACAGTCGTATGTGCCAATCCTGTCTCTCAGGCCAGCTCACGAATTGTATGGCATCGATCACTCTCCAGTTACGCGGAAAGAGCATACACTTCTTCACTGACACTAGGACGACCTGGCCGACGCATGTCTGCCACATTTTGGCGTCCCTCGTTGAAGGCTTTTACCCACCTTGCCACTGTTCTGTAAGACAATGCAGATTCCCCGCAAGCCTCTTGAAGACCTTGATGATACTGTCGTGCTGTATGGCCTCTGGCACATTCAATCTTTATCCAACTCCGTTGTTCTAGACAGTTGGCTCACAGGTGGCGGTAAGGTTGTTAGCCTTATGTGCCAGCCACCCTTTACCCTCCAGGAAGATTTCTGGTACTCATTTCTGTTAAGAGGCTGAGTCGACCACAAGGCCATAATGCAGCAGGAATGATTAGGTAAATTGAAAAAAATCTACCAGCATTGAGGCTTACCTATTCCAAGATTTTGTTTAACATCGTAATTGAAAACTCAGCAGATCTCAGTACAAAATGTGAGGTTTTAGATCAGATGAAGTTTGTATTGTCACTATGTCTCTTTACTTTATACAACATGTACTCTTATGTGTTTGTGGTAAGTGAGCTGAGTTAACCAATTCCATATAGTTGAATCCATCTTGATAAGCCAGCAGTTGCTCAACCACCAAAATTCCTAGCATTTTAGGGAACTTGTTTGTGAATCATTACCATGATCATAAGAGCATGCCACTGGTCTGTGCCCTGAACCAAATTCATCCCATCCCCCAATCCCATTTCTCTTGCATTAAATGAATTCGAGGGCAGTTTCATGCTTACTACCAGACTTGTGAGCAGTTTGCACATGTAACCAAGTAGGACTTTGCTGTGTAACAAGTTCTGATGGTTGTAGTGTGCTAGAACAATTGGGAGGTTTAATTAACTTCATTCATGTGGTGAATAAAGTCAGTCACCTCTCCTACAGATGAAACTTGGTGGTACATCAGTTTGTGATATTCTGTAAGCCACACAGTTGTTTAAGAGTTAACTGGATGGAGCAGAATTTCTACAATATCTGCCACCACTGACAGATTTGTAAAGGAATTGAAAAATGAACATTTTAGTATAAAGTGAATTGTTATCAGGATAGCAGAAATTCACCTTCCTATTTTTTTTTTGTGGTTTGGATGTGTACTATTTGTCATTCAATCAAATGACATTAAAATGAGTTTTCTTCATCCTTGTCGATATCTGTATCATATGTATATCCAGCTACACCAGATGTCCTGTGGCTTCCTCTGTTTGCAGTTCTACAGATGTTAGTTGTAACACTTAAGCTGGAAGTGAAGAGACCAACTTAACAACAGAGAGAAGTAAAAAGTAATCTGTAACTTCCACTAACCAGGATGAAAGAGTCGTACACTTTAATGCATGTAAGCACAATAGACCGCTGTAGGTCGCGGCACATGGGCTGAGGAGGCCTACCCCTCAAACATATATAAGAAAATGTTTTGGCCTAATGCCTTATCGCCTCAAGTGTTTATATTTATAAGTTTGTGCTGACAATTTTTTAATAGCTTTTATACATGTGAAGGTGAAGTGAGTCTTCACAGTAAAGTGTTTCACAAAACCCAATCCCATAGCAGTCCCAAGTTTATATTTGCAGATGTTTTAAGTAATAGTTACATGCACACAATAATGTATTAAAAAAATAAGGTGCCACAATTTGAGCAGTAGAGGGTCAAAGGTCAAATTTGCAAAGCCTTGAAAATATAATTGTACACGATATATTTGGTGTGGTGGTTGGAAAGTACAGTTAACGGCTTTAATATGGACATGAAATGGGATCTCTGTCACAGAACAAGTTTATCTGAGACAGCTTGGATCCAAAAAATGTTGTAGCTTTTTTTAATAATTTTGATTGTTCTTAGAATTCCAGTGGTCATAAAACACTAATATGTGGCACAAATACGTATTTCCATCTTGACTACAGTCTCATAAAAATCATTCGGTTCTCAGGCTGTCAGGTTGTGATTGATTTGACATGAAATGAACCAATTATTAAAACATTATTTTGTCCTAATTTCATAGTCTTCACACAGCTACACATGGGTGCACACACATTGCATGTTCTCACATGCCTGCATGTAGTTTATGTATATATTTTAGTGTTGGAAACAATGGTAGAGAAATGTTTTGTGTTAGACTGTACAAACCAGAGTATTAAAGAACAAATTTTATAATCTCTTGGTGAGAACTACCCTGTCAGTATCCCATAATGACAGTAGGAAGATGTGTGACTCTCAGTGGCATCATGGACAGTCTTGTTCCTCTCAACTGTTTTAAATAAGTACTTCATTATATTTGGAAACTCCTGCTGACTTATGCAAACACTGATTTACATGTATCATGACATGGCTTGTTGCTGTTATTGTGTTGTACAAAATATCCTGGCCACAGAACTGACTATTATAAAGCGATGCTTGGTGTTGAGAGTGTAGTCTTTAACCATTTCAGTGCTAAGTCTAAGTATATCGTTGTCGCAGTATGATGTTTGCCTACCCAGTTCTCATTTCCTTCATTTTCCAGAGCATAAGACATCTTGAAAATGGCTAAAACATGCATGTGTGGTACTGTTGAAAGTTATATCAATGGTTTTCCTCCCAGAAGTTTTTGCTCTAAAATATGGACAAATCTTATATTCCAGATATGTTTTGTATTTGTTTCTCTTTGGTGACTTATGCTGTTCCATATTGTCCTATTGAAGTCATGACTCAAAGGGTTATATTCTGAAATGGTGCATCATCTCCATAATTTGCTGGTGTTTACAGATAAAAGCTGTAATACAAATACCAGTTTTTGTTATTCTGATGTGTTTCAGTGATCGTGACAGGGACAGAGATAGAGACAATTACAGGGACCGAGACAGGAGGAGAGACCGAAGCCGCAGCAGGGAGCATTACCGTGATGATCGTAGAGGAGGGGGAGGAGGTAGCAGTGGTCGAGGTCTGAAGGGGCGGCAACCTGGTGGTAGTCTTAGGAAACCACACTGGGATTTGAGTCGCTTACAGCCATTTAGAAAAGATTTCTATGTTCCACATCCAGATGTTGCCAACAAACCACAGCATGAGGTTGAGGAATACAGGAGTTCAAAAGAAATTACTCTGAAAGGACGCAGTATTCCTAATCCTGTGTGGACATTTGATGAAGCTGGCTTCCCAGATTATGTTATGAAGGAAATCAGGTATTTTTATTAGTCTCTGTATTTGCCTCAACTTCTTTTAATTTTACTCTCCAAAGTGTTGTCAGTGTTATCGTGCCTTGTTAACCTATCTGACTAAAATAATTTGAAGCTGTCTGCTGTTGTAATAGATCGATACTCCTCTAACAAAAGATAAAATACCTGGTGATTTTTCTGAGTGAGAACTGAATGTCAGAAATGTTAACAACATTATTTGTTAGAGGGTTAGGGCCATTTTGGCAGGACTTGTATGTGCATTGCACAGCAAGTAGTAAACAACATGGCATTCAGTGTAGAGAAGTGTGTGTTCTTAGTGAAGCATTACTTTAAAACAGTTACTATAGCCACAGATTTATTATGTCCAGAATGAGTGAAATCAGTGATATTTAAGTTTGTGAAACAATTCTGGCATACAGGAAATGTGAACATATTGAGACATGTTCACAAATCAGCTGTTGTTACAGAGATATTGAGAGACGGAGTGCAAGTCTGTACAAGTCACTGTGAAAAGCTATACAAAAAACTGGAATATCATACAGTCACATAGCAGCAAAGTCACTGAAATTGTTTCCATACAGTGTGCATGTTATTTAGCACTTGTTACCACTAGACTATTGAAAACATCATCATTGCTGTGTGAAGTCACAGAATACTTGCATATTGTCGACAGAAGATATCTTTGCAGTTCATGAAACTCCCTTTCACTCTGTCAGGATTGGAATGTGGTGTGCACTGTCACCGTGGTGTTTTTGGGCCCATTCTCCTTGAAAACACCATTAAATCTAAGCGCTGTTGGCATGATACGTGAATTCCTTGGACATCTTAACTGAAGAGAAAATTGCGAGAGTATGGTTCCATCAGGACAGCCCAACATGTCATCCAGCACAACTGACTGTGTGAGCTGTTCCAGTTTTTCAGAGATCACATCACTTTGAAAGGACTGCTCCACCTAATGCAGTAACACATGCAATCTGGATGAACTGAAAACCACCATATCAAACACTATTACTGACATTTCATCCATGATGCTAAAGACAATGTCTGTGAACATGCTTCGTTGTGCTCAGTTATGTTTGCAACATGCCAGCGCATGCATCCAAAGCTTTTGGAACAAGGTGTACTGTGAACACCTTACTTTGAATAAAGTTCTTATTAAAAATATCACCATACTGCACACAACAGTTCACCAAAGTGGACCTAGTACAATAATACATGACCATATTAATATTTCTGACATTTGCATTTTGTTAAAAATAACCCTGTATCATGGAGTTCAGATTTTTATCGCCAATTAAAATCTGAATATTCTGTAGCATGTATAGCCATTACTGTGCAATGATTCTGATATGGGTGGTTACATCAGACCTCTTTCTGGGTAACAGCTCAGTAAACATGTTCCTGTGGGAACTGTTACACATGCAAGAGGGGACCAGGGTGTTGTCTCTGTGGTTTGCGCCAAGGAGTTATAAAAAGATGAGAATTGGGGGAACCAGCCAGTTGTATTCTGCGTGAGAAGCTATTAAGATAGTGTCTGAGTGTGGAAAGCTGAAGAATAATCACTGTTAGACGATGTTGCAGAGGAATGGCTGATGAAGACAGCAGGCTGGAAAAAGGCTTAGTGATTGCTGTGGTGATTTGTGAAGCGTGCAGATTAGTGATAATACTGTAATTACTTGTCATTCCAAGTGGCGTGTATAAACTACTCAATAAATCAGTTCACCAGTCCATACCCTGTAATAGTGACCTACCTAAATTGTGACAGTACTATAGAATAGTGTAACTGGAGCATTGCATTGACATAGAATTGAAATGTTGGGATGTTGGGAAAGGCTTAACTCTAGTGTAAGTATATATATATATTCCAGTATTATAAAATGCATGTTAGTTAATATAGTTGCAGATTTGCAGACTGCTTTTTCATGCCTCTTGTAATTCCATGGAATGGAGTCCTCCTTGAGAAGCTAATTGTAAATCTATATTCATTTCTTTACCACAAAACTTGCTTTCATATTACAGCACTGGATAATACTGATGAACTGTATGTGTCTTTATTGTGTACATCCTGTTGTGTATCACTATGCGGTATTATAATGAGACAGAAATTAGTAACAAAATTTATATTAATATAATTACTAATATGGATCCACATTAGACCACAGTAACAGGTTATATGTCTTGAAAACTGTCTGATAATCATCCAGCTGGAGAGAAACGTGTAGTAGATACAGAATAATAAATGAATGTTAATACAGTTATGTTGGTTTGTTTATTTGGAATTTGTTGTGTTAAGGGTCATATATTTAATTTGGTATTGGAATATATAGTGAGGAAATGTAATGTAGACACAAGGAATACAATAGCGTATAAACAAACGCAAATAATGGTGTATGCAGATGATATTACTATAGTATTGAGATCACTAAGAGCAATGAAGGGGAGATATAAAGAAATAAAAACCATAGCAAAAACAACTGGTTTAGAGATGAATGTAAATAAAACTAAAATGCTGATACAATCTAGAAGGAATCCAAGGCAAACTGGAGAAATTAACATGGAAGGGGACGGGATAGAAATAGTTGAAGACTTCATATATTTAGGATTGAAATTCCATAAAGATGGAGAGGAAAATCATGAAATAACAAGAAGAATAAAACTAGCGAATAATGCATATTTCTTGTTAATATCAGTTTTTAGATCGAAGGATATACACTGAGTGATCAAAACAAAAATATATAAAACAGTGATAAGACCGGTGCTTTATTATGGATGTGAGGGTTGGACGCTAAACAAGTAAGAGGAATCAGTCATCAATTCTTTTGAGAAGAAAATCCTAAGACGAATTTATGGACCAATAAAGGAGAATGGGATATGGAGAATAAGATATAATAAAGAGTTATACAAATTATATAAGGAGCCAGAGATCTAAGTGATGATAAAGCTTAAAAGATTGCAATGGGCTGGGCATGTACAGAGAATGGATAAGCAGCATATCCCAACGAAAATATTATGCAGTACAATAGGTGGTAGGAGACGTGCTGGGAAACCAAGAACTAGATGGATTGATGTGGTGGAAGAAGATGCAAAGAAGTTAATAGGCGTAAGGATCTGGAAGAGAGCAGCGCAGGATAGAGAGGAATGGAGGGGCTTTATAAGGGAGGCCAAGGCCCGACATCGGGCTGTTGCGCCATAGAAGAAGAAGAAGAAGAAGAAGAAGGGTCACATAGTATCACAACTGTGTTTATGTTTATAGAAAACTGGGATTCAAGGAACCTACAGCAATCCAAGCACAGGGCTGGCCAATTGCTCTCAGTGGCAGGGATATGGTTGGGATTGCGCAGACTGGTTCCGGAAAGACATTATCTGTGAGTGTTACACCTTTGCTTACCCTCTGAATATGGGGATATTTGACATGCTTAGCAGTCTTCTGTATTTTTCCATTGAAGTTTCCAATGTAATGGTTGTTTTGCAAAGATCTCATGATTAGCCTTTCTGTCTTTGCCTACCTTTTCATGCTTTCTTTTATGTATCTTCCCTCACTTGATCTCCCTGCCAGTTCTTGATCACCATCTTAATTTTTTATTATTTTTGTGGGACCTGCTGTAATTGCTCAAACATATATTTTTGGATAACTGTATGGAAATAAAAATGTACAGTCAGAACTAAATTAAATTCATTTTAATAAAGGTAGGCAGACAACTTGGTGGGCATATTTCAGTAAGAGATTTATGTCAGGAGACTTCTTAGAATAGAACAGGCTGGATGCTGAATGAAGTATTTCTGTTCCATAATTTGCACACCAATACTTTAAGGCAAATGGGGCGGGAAACTGATTCCCATTCATGTTTTGGATCTCACTTCAGCATTGAAAGATGTTTTGGAGGGAGGGTGTCATGTTCCTATTCATATGGTCATCTTTGCATAGTTTGAGGTCCTCATTTATATGGCATGCAGTGCAACAAGCACAGATTTGTAAGGTAAATTTGGTAGGCAGCATGGCTATCAGTTCTTCGTTCATCCTCTGTGTCAGTTTGAAGTGGTTACTTTCCTTCTTGTGTTGCATTTGAGTATTGTTTTTTGGAAGTGATTTTGTAATAATGAATTACCATGGCACTGAAAAGAAGTTTCAGAAAAGGAAAGTTATTCAGGAGATGGAAGAGAATCCAGTTGTGTCACAAAATTACAAAGTGTTTTGTGCTACCTCTGTTGTCATGAAGGAACATATCTGTACAGATAGATTCACTTTTGGAGAAGGAAAATTGGTGTGGGGCAAATTCTGAGAAATGAAAAAAAAACTTATTTTATTAAATGAACAAGGTTTGGTGTATATTATTGATTAAACTTGTTTGACTCATTTTAGGATCTGATCTCCAAAAATCCCCTTTTAAAGTACAAAATCTTAAATCAGATGTCACTATAACAGAACACTTTGTATGCTTTCATGTGTGCATGCATTGAATGCTCATGGTTTGATCTCCAAGATCAGATAAGCCTAACCCATTCATTTATTATAATTGATTGCTGGGTGAGGTTTTAATCTCAATTCTCCAGTACTTAATCTTCCTCTCCCCTCCCCCNCCTAAGAAACGTGGTGAGTGCATGGTATGCTCATCATAATAACATTCTTCTTATTTCTCTATTTTTAGCCTACTTTCCTTATTTTAAAAAATAAAAAGTGGCTAATGAGATCATCTTGCTGTTTGTCCTGCTCACCCTAACATTGCTAGGCAGTGGGTCAGAAAATATGTTCTTGCAGCAACAGATACACATGCAACAATAGAAGAACCGTTGGAAGCAATGTACTCTGTGCAGTATGTGTCATAAAATACTTAGTATGTAGTGAAGGGATAGTAGGCATTCAGTTTTTCTCAGAACTTGTTGTTTATAACCATGTTATGACATAGTCTGATTTTTGCTTCTCCCTTCTGAAGCATACAATTCAGTGAATGTTAGGTATACTTTTTCTGTTGCGACAGTGCCACCACATTTGTAAGTTTTTTGTTTAAAGTTTTGAATAAATGGCCAGTTATTGCTTAGGAATCCATACACTGATGTATCCCACTTTAAAAAATATGGCATAGCACTGTCTGATCTCAAGCATTTCGATTGCAAGATTGTGGAATGTTAAGGTGAGTGAATACATGGCTTAATCTCATGCACAAGCAGAAACATCCAGTTATTTTTTGGTTACTCCTAACAAATGATTAATGAACTGGAATTACAGATTTAGGGTATGTATTTGTATGTGTTTGTGACTATACATGGGGTTTGGCTTGATAATTGGATTTAATAATGCTTATAACCTGTAACTACAAATAACTACAGTGAAATATCCATGTATTGCTTTCCAGGATCTGTCATTCAGTTTCTTTGGCCCCTGAACAATTCCTATTTAAACTATGGACATAAAACCCATATCAATCATTCTTTGATTTATCGATTTCCTGCATCTGTCAGAATTTTTAGTCCTGAAGAATGTTAATCCTGGGTTGATTGTTTTTAAGAAGAGCAGCACTACGCACACAAATGTTAGTACACATCGGTAGTAGTAACAGCGGTTGATGTTTTTGGAACATAGTGCAGCAAGTTGCAGTTTTGGCTCCCAACTTTAGCTGTGCACTATGTGACCTTGAGTGCGGCTTACCAACCAGACAATGGGCTGGTATATGACATCATCAAGAGAGACGAGCGAACATCGTTAATTTTGAAAGGTTATTATTCAGTTTGGAAAGGAAAGGTGTTAAGGAACAAATGAGGATTAATGAGTTTTTTAAGAAAATTGGTCTTGACAGTAAAAATAATATCATCGGTGTACGTTTTTTGATTTATTAAATACATATTGGCAAGTGTGACCGTTTTCATTCATTTTTTGTAACCCCACGTTTTTATTGTTTTTCTGTATCCATTATTTTTTTTTCAGGACCCCTGACGAAAACAGTGAATCAAGGATTCATGGTATAATGGTCTCACTGATTTACATTACAGTTACAGCTCATATAAAGTCTTCTGTTTGTTCACTAGATGTTGGTAGATTGAGACTTGTAACAATGAGGCTAAAAACTGCTAACTCTGACGTTGACTGATGGTCAAGTGACTGGCTTCATTTGGTCAGGCATTTAAATTGCTGCTGTCCTTTGTCAGCACAGTCATGCTGGGCTTCAGTGTCCTCTGGCAGTCGGTTAAATTGCTGCTGGCCTTCACCAGCATGGTCATTTCAGGCATCAGTCTCGTTGGCATCCTTGACCAAGATCTTTATTATCTTCTAAACATATACATGTTATAGAACTGGGGCCTCCTCTTCAACAAGGGTAGGGATCAGTCTTTCTGTGTAGGCACTACGTTTGTGCCCTGTAGTTTCAGCATGAGCATATCCGCCCTGTCTAAACGTCTAGGTCACCATGGCCACTGTGCACCCCTTGTCACTTCACTATGCTGTCACATTTATGCAAGATGTACAGAGGATTTCTGTCAATGCGGGCTTGTGAAATAGGTTATGTCTTAACATATTTAACTACTCTGAAACTAAGATTAGTTAGCTGAACAGTCATAGGCCTGACTGTCACCAAGATTAAGCCTCTTATACTTACCATGCTTGGATTCTAATTGTCCAATACCACTTACATTTGGCTTTTCATGGTTAGGATTGCTTATGCCTGTACCCTGCAAAGTTTAGTTGTGTAATCATACACGTAAGGCATTTTGAAAGCTATGTGCAATTAGTGGACTGGTTTGTGCCTGTCAAAGTGTTCAGTGGTGCAGAGAACTCTGTTCCCCAGACACTGCAGTTTTAAGGGGTGGGCATCCATCACATATGTCCAGGTAGGACAGGCATATGTCATTACTGACCTAATCAGAGCTTTGTAAAGTGTAAGTTTGATATTTATACTTAAATGCTCACTTTTGAACAGGGAATGAGTACTTATGTATTGTTCAAGGCCTTGGCTGCGGTCCTTTCAGTGTGGTGTCTCCATGTTATCCTCATATCTAAAGTGACAGCAGAATATGTTACATTGTTCACAAAGGGGATGTCTCATTTGTTTAATTATAGTACGTCATAATGGTCTCCAAGTCTTCTGGAGAAATAGATCACCCGAGTTTTATGTTCATAAATCTTTGTGTTCCATTCCTTACACAAATTTACTGCAGTGAAGCCCTGTTACAGTTTGCAGAGAACATGATGTTCAGATTTCTGTGTCACGTAATACAGGTATCATCCACAAACAGCAAGATGAGTTGCAGTTGTTAAGGGGGGCACATCATTTATATATAGACTGTATAACACTGGAGCAAGGACAGAATATTGAGGAACCTCCGCCACTGTTTTTTTGGTGTAGAAAATTCGTCTGCTATGAAGACTTCAAATTTTCTGTCAGAAAAAATGCAATTAGCTTAATCAGACTTGTAAAAAATTCTAATTCTGACAATTTATATAGTAGGTCTGAGTGCCATGTTGTGACAAAAGTTTCCTCGATAACCAAGAACACAACAGCTGTTGACATATTACTGTAGAAATTAGGGGGATGTGATCCACCATCCTCATACATTAAAGTGTGTACTGTGATCTGTTCGAAAGCCAAACTGACTTACATGTAGTTTCTTTCTTTCATGGTTGTGTTTTTGGATTGTTCTTAAAATCTGCTTCTCAAATATTTTGCCTTTAGCAGACAAGACACTGATTGGACGTACATTTTGGGTCTTTGCCGGGTTTTCGCAGTTATGAGTTCCTCTTGTGGTGCAGGGAAGTGATCAAGCTGAAGGTAGTGATTGAATAAATTTATTAAATGTGCTAGAGTTGTGCTTGAAAGATGCCAGAGACATTTGTTTGGAATGCCATCAAAACCATAGGCCTTTCCTGATGTTGGGCATTGTAGTTCTTTTGAGACATCACAGGGTCGGAAATTAACAGAGATGTCTTCATCAGTGGTAACCAGGTGGGCTTAAACTTGAACCTCCATGTGTTGTCCTTGGTCAGTCGCACAGGTCATGTGCTCTGGACTGGTTTTCTGTGCAGTCCGTGATTATGTTGGCTTTATCAATTGGATGAAATGTGAGGCCTAAGGGGCAATGAATTGCAGATGGTACCTTTGATCACCCCTTTTTGTGAGGGGTTTTGTAATATGCCATATTGCTTGAGATGGAATGTCACAAATTATTAACTTTGTTTCCCATCTTTCAAGTGCTCTTTTCTGGACCGTTCTCCTGATATTTCAACTGATCCAGTTTACTGATGTTTTGCATGCTGGATCCCTGGTTTCTTGCCATGATCTTCCAAGTTTTTTTTTTGTGCTTTAATGAATGATCTAGGCCAGGTATTCCATACTTCCGGTCTAAAGTTGTAGTTTTTCTTGTAAATAGAGTGTATGCTGAACCTATAGAGGCTGCAAAGTTGCGTGCTGCTTTATCAGCTTCATTAGAAGGGTGAGTTTGGATATTTGGAGTAAGTTTAGAGGTGAGGCTTTGAAACAGCTCCCAGTCTGTCAGTTTTTCCACTGAATCTAAAGCTTCCCTCGTTCTAACAGGGTCCAGAATGCTAAACCTTGGTAGGTGATCTAAGTTGTGAATGTCAGTGACATTGACCTGACAGATATCATCACCTCTACCTTCATACGTGTAATCTGTAGGGCATTGTAGAGATGAAATATTGAAGTTAGGACTAACATATAATTCCAAGTGTTTTCTGCCTGAGGGATTTGAAACTTTACTGTTCCAAACATGGTGCTTTGCATTGAGGTCACCTACCAGGATGGATTTAGTGTTTCCAATCAGTATGCAGACCCCTGTTGCTTCTACTGATAGGAGAGGCTGTACATCGACTCATGTGAGAGATGCGTTTCTTAAATGCGGTGGCAGTTCCACCTTTGTTATGGTCAGTCTGATATCATAGTTTGGAATGTAGAACCTCGTGTGAAGTTTCAGGTGTCTCTTTGAAAACGCCCATGTCTGTTTTTAAGTCTTGCAGTGCTCTGAAAAGTAGTATTCACATAATTACATGTGACCTCTTTGACATGGAATTTTTTGTTAAAGAAATAAATAGAGTACTTTCACATTTGGGAGCATAATTATTTTGTGTTTGGATTGAATGTTTTATATGAATTTGCAGTTACACAAGCAGTGATGACAGTATTATAATGAAATGCATTGTGTATGTGTTATACGCTATACTGAGCTTGTGGCCCAAGCTATATCACACGTGGCTGTTTTGTGCATTGTGATTGGTAATTTTGTGTGTTTCCAGTACACGCTTCCGGCCATTGTGCATATCAACAACCAGTCTCACCTGGCTCGAGGAGATGGTCCAATTGCTCTGATCCTTGCTCCCACACGTGAGTTGGCACAGCAGATACAACAGGTTGCAAATGACTTCGGTGCTTCGTCTCAGATCAAGAATACGTGTGTGTTCGGAGGAGCACCTAAGGCTCCACAGGCACGGGACCTGGAACGGGGAGTGGAAATAGTCATAGCAACACCAGGACGACTGATTGACTTCCTGGAGAGTGGCAAGACAAATCTCAAGAGATGCACATACTTGGTTTTGGATGAGGCAGACAGGATGTTGGACATGGGGTTTGAACCCCAGATCCGGAAAATTATTGAGCAGATTCGGGTGAGTTTTTTTTTTGTCTGTAATTTATAATACTTGGTACATACTGTATTTACCCGAAAGTGAGACGATTTCTTTATTCTTGGGTACCAGAAGATACAGTGGTCATTTTGCATTCACATGGTGTGAATGGAGTGGATGCTTTTATGATCCAGTAGTACTTTGCAGATAATGTTTTAGGGTTTGCGATGCCACTGTTTCATAGGGTTCTGTGTTGTCCAGTTCAGAGTCAAAGTGTACTTACCATTCTAATCCATGAAATCAGTGCTGCATTGTACACTACAAGCAGCAGCTCAGAGTACTGGCATAATACTGAGGTATGGATCATTGGTGAGTATGTTGAAAAGACAGGTTCTTTCAGAAGGTGCACATTGCAAGTATAGCAGGAACTCCTACATTTTAAGCCCACATATGACATCTAGATGGATTTGAAAGTTGTAGTTTTAAATTCAAATTGCACGTGACTAGAAAAGAAAATATATATCACTGCCGTTTACATCTGTATCTTAGACAAGAACAGTGTAATAGAGGAATGAATGCTTCATACTTTGAAAACTTTTCATCGTTTCTCAGCTGCATTCCAACTTGTTTATTTGCCCCAAGTTAATATTCTGATATTAAAAAGCTTCCTACCAAATACTTATGTAAAAATGTCAGTGTGCCCTCCAATTAATATGTATCCAAGCTACACTTGCAGTTTCACCTCATATTCCACAGCAGCTCTCTCTAATTATGGTTTGTGTATTGCCGTGTGGACCAAGTGAACTACAGACTCCGCTCAGCTGGAAGAGTTGAGTTGCTTTGTTGCTGTAGATCATGTTACACACATGTTGGTATGCCACAGCTCAAAGCAAGGTACAGCACATAGACCACAATCAAACTTCTTGCCATAGTACACTGTTTTTTGGTTTGGCACTTCCTTTGACATGGCCAACGTCGTTCTCTTTATTTGTTCAGCCAGTGCAAAGGATGTTTTACTTCAGGTTAGCTCAGGAGTGTCTGAGCTGCTGACTTGATCCCTGGAATACCACTCATACCCACCATTATGGTAGAGGTTGGTATTTGTAGGTTTACCGGGTCTCCTGTAAATATCTGTGTCAAGGAAGGGGAGGTGGCCCTCAATTTCGGTCTCCATGGTGAACTGAATGTACTGGTGGATACTGTTCAGGTGGTTCAGGAAGTCCTTAAGCTCTCGGGCCCGTGTTGAAGGTGTTGTCCACATAGCGAAACCAGCAGAGGGACTTGTGGGGGGCCAAGTCAAGCAAGCTCTCTCTCCTTGAAGTTCTCCATATAGAAGTTGGTGATGACCGAAGACAGTGGCAAGTCCATGGCCACACCATTGATTTGTTCATAGATCTGGCCATTGAAGCTGAAATATGAGGTGGTCAGGACATGGAAGAAGAGTCTCAAGATATCTTCTTCAAAATGTCATCCTAGCAGATCCATAGTATCCTTTATTCACATCTTGGTGAGGAGAGACACCACAGGCACTCAATCCGCAGACACCTGCTCACACTGGTTTATTGCTCGTGAATTTCTTATACCCTGAAGATGGAGGCGATAGGTTCCTCCAAAATGTCACTTAACAAATTATCTACACAGTGCCACATCCCAGAATACGGCATTCTTCATATTCACCATGTGAAAACCTCAAATCATACTTGGTATACGTATGTCATGCCGAGGTCATCTAGACATCGTACATCATAAATCCTTCTCATTAGCAGTACCAACATTGAACCCTCTCAAATGTTGTTATATTGACTTCATTACCCATACATACTAATGTTTTCTTTCTGCTCGTTGTATCAGATGCAAAAATTACAGTGAAAGGAAAGTAGGTGATTGGTTGTTCCAAGAACTTGTAATTAATGCAACTTATTCAGCATTCGGTATTTTGTATCTTAGTATGAATGAGATGTGTTATTTGATAGCATAATAGTATTCACACACTACAGTTCAGGGGATGGTCACTTCATTGTCCCTGGTTCCGTCACTGTGTTCTCACTGCTCCCAAGATGGAATGGGGTGTCCAAACTTAACAACAAAATAGTAAATAAAACGTGAATCATTATGTTGGTACATCAGATATGCATATGAAACACATTTATGTGCTTGACCATCTTGGTTGGTCCAGACTGAAACTCATAAGAAGTATACATAAAGCAGCCACATGGAGCCATCTGTTTACACATTGTGAGACAACCCAAATTGCAACGTTGCTCCATTGTCTAGTCATAAAACAACACTAAATGGGTCAGGAGCAAGCCCAAACAAATAATAATATAATACAAAACAAAACTCATTACAGCATGCCCCCCCAAAAAAACAACTTACTATTGCAATGAGGAGGCCCCTTGCCCTCAACAGCTGAAGCGAAGAGTCCAAACACAATATGGAAATCACAACTGAAACAGAATTTAGTGACCAACTTTGCCCAACCACTGGAAAGCAGACTGCTGTCTTATCACTACCCACACCAACAGAGGTCTTTCTTTTTTAAGTATGGGAGGAAGTGGAAATCATGTGGTATATGGAATTGTGGGATAACTGTAAGCAAGTGGCAACATGGATTCCGGGGAGGGGGCATGATGGAGGGGAGGATACTGGACCAAAACGAGCAACTCCTGAGCCATCCAAATGTAAACAGCTCAGTATCTCCCCTTTTGCCAAAGAACAAAATGTTGAGCACTTGCGAAAGTCCATCGCAACATGCAGTAATTTACACATTCATTGTCCAGACCACACGGGACGTTCCACATGTCTTGCCACCCACGAAGGTGCATCGCAGCTAGCCGCCATTGCTGCACATTTGCAACCACTACTGGGTGCAAATCTCTCCCAGGCTGTCCATAACAGTCCATGAGGAGCTCTGACCACCGCGCAGGAGTCCAAGGTAACACTAATCCATGTGGCTCCTTAGTCACTAAGTTGACGGTCACCCATGCACTGACACAATCCACTGGTCCATCCTGGCACTGGGCAGCAATTCATTTTTCCCAGCCTCGGATGCAGTCTTTTGTAGGGGCCATACAGACAGCTGGCCTGGAGCCAGAAGGTTTGTTGACTGTTGCATTGTTGTGACAAGACGTTCGGAGATCAGTGCTAACGGCTCTAGTACATCTTCCCAAGACGTGACTCAGTGAAAAATATGGGCTAGGAGGGACAAGAATAAACCTCCATATCTAGAAGGAAGGACAGCAAAATAAACCCAACTCAGTAACCAGTTAGGTTCCAAGTGTTACTAAACATCAACATACCTACCAGGAAATATAATTATTCAGCCAGAAAGTGTAGCTTAAATTTAGATACGTGCACCTTTTTTATAATCACTCCTGTATGAGGATTGGCTAACAAGGAAATAACAGGAGATACAAACTTAGCTACATAGGTAAGTCAATAAGTAAGTTACAAATGGATACAGAACTTCAACAAATAGGAGTACTGATTTGAAAAATGCTTTCATTTCTCAACATAATCTCCCTGTACATTGAGGCATTTGTCCCATTGTTTCACAAGCCCCTGAAAACCAGCACATAAAAATTCTTTGGGCTGTTGTCGGAACCAGGCGTGTTCACACGTCATAGGCTACCTCATAATGCATGACAGGTTGCATGCTTACATTGAATGGCCTTACGAAGTTTCCTGAGGATGTTACAGTAGGAGTCGGCATTTACGGTTTGTCCTTGAGGCTGGAATGCGGCGAGTGTATGCCTTCGTGATCCCAGAAGACTGTGAGCATCACTTTCCTGGAGGATGGTGTCACCTTAAACTTTTTTTTGGCAGGCGACGCAGGATGTTTCCACTGCATTGATGCACACTTTGTCTTGTGCTGGTAATAGTGAACCCAAGACTCATCACCTGTGACAATTTGGGCTAGCATATCGTGTCCTTCATCGTGGTGGCGATTGAGATGCTATAATGCCAGACCCCTTCTTTGCATTTTGTGTTGTGGGGTCAGCATGCGCGGCACCCAACATGGACAGACTTTGTGAAAACCCAACCTGTCATGCATTATGAGGTAGGCCATGGCGTGTGGACATGCCTGGTTCCGACAGCAGCCCAAAGAATTTTATGCTGCTTGTTTTCAGGGGCTTGTGAAATGATGGGACAAGTGCCTCAATGTACAGGGAGATTATGTTGAGAAATAAAAGCATTTTTCAAATCAGTACTCTTATTTGTTTAAGTTCTATATCCATTTGTAACTTACTTATTGACTTTACCCTTGTATTATGAATGGTACAGACCATTTATAATGTTAACTTGGTGGAATGTTGGCATGACTTGGAACTCACTGGGTGTAACTTCACCAAAACCAAATCACCCACTTGACACTCCACCTCCCTTCTCAGAAAGTTGTATCTGTCTGCCACTCTGGCAGAAGCCTTCTCAGATTAGACAAGGTAAGTAAAGTAAAAAAGTAAAGCTATCCCAGTAAGAGGCTGTGGAGGCCCATAGGGTTGTGAGATGTTGAGGGTCTCACATCATCTGGACAGTCGGCTCGAAGATGGCGGTAAGGTTGTCAGCCTTACGCGCAGGCCACGCTTTACTCCCCAGGAAAATTAAGACAAGGTAGTCTCCCAAAACTTATTAATCGTATTTGAATCTTTCAGCAGCTGTAGCTCATACAGTTGCCATTAAAGGCTCAGGGGATATTTCAGTTTCCTAACCAGAAACCGGGAGGCAGGAGTCACTGCAGATAACGTGCCAAGCTGAGTTGAAGGCTATGTCCAATGATGGAAGAAGTTCATCATGTAAGAGCGGCCTTCTCTTTCCCATGAAACGTTCTAAATCAATCCAGTCACCACTTTAATTTACATTGAACTTAAATGGCAACACAAGAGTCATAAAATAACCGATCATGCACTGCTACCAGTTAACAGCTCCTCCACTCTTTACAGTTTGGTGGATGTCAGCTGCATTTGTCCCTGCTTTGATCATGTTCTCAGTGCTCACGAGATGGAATGGGGTGTCCAGACTTAGCTTCATTAAGAAAAGACTGAATCTCCAAAATAAGTATTTAATAACAGTTAATAACAATAATGACAGAATGTTACAGTACTATCTAGTAATGCAGCAGCACTAAATGGGGCAGCAACATGCCCAAACAAATAATAATATAATACCAAAAAAAAAACTTGTTATAACATCCCCAAATATGAAAAAAAGAAACATATGCTGTTTGTAATGAGGCCCCTTGCCCTCAACAGCTGGAATGAAAAGTCTGAACACAACATGGGAATCCCAACCGAAACAGAATATAGTGACCAAATTTGCCCTACTACTGGACCGCAAAGGCTGCTGTCATATGAATACCCATATCTATGAAGGTCTTTCTTTTCAAACAAGGGAGGAAAGGGAAATCACGTGGTACATGGAATAATTATCGGATAACAGTAAACAAGCGATGACACGGATGTCTTGGGAATGGGGCATGAAGGAGGTAGGGGATACCAAACTGAAACAGACAACTCCTGAGCTATCTGAATGTAAACATGGCTCATTTCAACACTGTTATGTTTGACTCCTGAATGCAGAACCTTTTGAAATGTTAACCTTGCCATTTCTAATACAGGTATCTTTTCTAAGAATTTTAAATTATAAAAATATTATCATTATATGCAGGGTCATTGTAAAGACAATATGTTCTCAAGTAATTTCCCTTTTAAGTGTAGTTTTCTCTTGTAGGGTTTGCAAGACTTCACGCTTTCATCATAAGATGATGAGTATTGAGCAGTAAACAGCAAAACATCACATGAGGTTGAGCCATTGAATTTGGGGGTTTGTGCCATGCTTGGGCCTGTTCCAATTCTTTGGCAAGACTTCTGCTTTGTTCGGGCTTCAACTTCTGCTATCTTGGCCTCAAGTCCTTGCTGCATGATATCAACTAGAGTCATTGTCAGATGTGTCTCAACCTCAATGATGGTTCTGAGCTCTTTGTGAAGGTGCAACCTTGTGTGTGTTATGGTTTCCAGGAGACTCTTTTTTTTTTTTTGCATACTGACGGAAGTATTTATGTCCTGGAAGTACATCTGTTTTTCATCAGTCTTCTTGCTTAGTTTCTTCTGGAGGCCTGCGTCTTTAGGTTGATACACAACAGGACATCTTCCACGTGATGTTTGATGGTAGCATCTCACTCATACCGGATGGAGTGTATTGTGGCCTCCATCTTCTCTTCATGTATGTTCACCTTACCTTTTGTTTCTTCTTGATTGGACTCTGGCCTGGCTTGGTGGATATCCATTCAGGTGCCGGGAATACCTTGGAGGACCTCAGCCTTCTTGTTATTGGCCTCTATCTTGGCTTTGTTGGTTCTTATTTCAGCCAACAGGCATTTCATCATTTGTTCCATATCCATGGTATGACACTGTATCTTCGCGATGGCATCTTCAATCCAATACTACTTCCGACACTAGTTGTAATGTGATAAATGTTACTACGGACAGGCTTTGGTTTCGTAGTCGGATTTATTGAACTCCTACACTTTACAGTTCACTATTACATACTAGTGTCCACAGTGACATCTTCACTGCCATTGCTTTGTAACGGCTTACGATGGTGTACATTCTACTTCCTCTGGGTTCCTGAACTGTCCCTGGCGTCAGCTGCCAACTTCTAACAGCAACAGCTCGGAACAAGTGAAACCTAGCAGTTCTGTAATTAACTTTAACCACTAAGTGGTCATACTTATATGAGTAATATCTCAGCACGGACTGTGTAGAAAACTTATCTTCCATTATTGCTGTATTGTCTTGTTTTTGTGGAAGCATGCTTGTTTGATGAGCTGTTACTTAGAAATGACTGTTGTATAGTTGCTTGTTTCTTGGTAGTTGCCTAGCAGCAGGTCTACATGCCACGATATATACCAAAGAAACAAACAGTTCAAGATGGAAGTTTACAAGCTCTATACTTCTAAGGGATGTACATAAAATATGAGTGTGTTAAGCAAAGACAGGAAACATGCCACTGCTGCAGTGACAGCCACACATTGAATTATGATAGAAGGGACTGCAAGGATAAAAAATGTGGTGCATAAGCTCTTCAAGGGAAATTTCTGCTCATCCGTGACTTACATGACATTTACTTGCTAAGTTGGTAAGCATCGTGGTACTGTCAAATGAAAGTGAAAGTGAATGTCTAGGTATTTTTGAAAGAAATGAAAAATGTAACAAGGTCTTATAAAGACTAGGGTTAGGGGTGACTTGGCTATTATAGTAGGGAAAGAAACAAAACATAAGTATGTTGACAAATATGCATTGTTCTCCAGGAGAGGGTAATTTAAGTGGTGAACATAGAAATGCTCTGAAACCAGTCATAATTCAAGGTTTTATGCACATGAATTGTATATAGACAGATCTGACCACATGACCATGGTCGTGGAAGTGGCCAAAACTATTTTTACATTTCCTGGACCTTTCAGTTTATCATTCTCACCTTTAGTGGTTCACTGACATTTCAGACTTGCATTGGTCAGGGGCCTAAATACAAGAAAGGAGAAGGGTGCCTGACCCACAGACAATCACATGGGGTGGAGAAACCCCTTCCACCAGTCAGCTGACCCAATTTGATATATGGCGTAGTGAACATTGGCCCTTGGAAGGTGGATATATTCGATGTTTTGTGTTCTATGAAAAATAAAGAGACAAGGACAAAATTCAGATATCTACAGTGCAAAGTGGGGTTGTGTGCTAGACCTTGTTTCAAGCTCTAAACAAGATTGCAATTCTGAGGACTTGTCTGACATATGCTGAAATTGGCAGACATACAAATAATAATAATAATAATAATACCAGTATCATTGTACTTTCATAATATTTTTGCAGTAAGAAAATTAGCGACAAAAGGGGTGTATATTTTATGATATGGTGAATGAGTTGAGGCATTTTCTGAAGTGTCTAGATGTTTGTGTCTCATTTTGATGCTTTATAAGATAAAAAAAAAGTGCAGCTGCATGGAGAGAACTACAAACATTTCAAGACATTTGCAACATTTATAGGTGGAAGTAAGCAGAATAATTGCTTAAAGGTGGGTGATTCAAATTAAAAAAAAAAAGTAAGTGGTAATCACTGGGGTGTAAAGACAAATTTTAGGCACACATTTAATAAAGGTTATATTCTTGGAAATTTAAATAATTTTTAAAAAATATTTTGACCTGATGGGGCAGTGTATGCCTATTAGGCCAGCTAAAAATTGCATTTAGTATGAAATGATATTTCCTTTCAGACAGTAAAGGTTACATGTTTGAATGCATTTGACTAACTCTTGCACAGCAACCACCACACCAGTTGAGTACAACAGTCAAACAAAGTAAATGTATTGTATTGGTGCACACCACACTAGTCCCGAACTTTGTAATATGCATCAAACTATTATTTCTTGTGCTTCAGTCACTTGACTCCATGATTTGTAAGGCTTTCAGTTGAATGGGATCCTTGCCAGCATTACAGCTTTTTATGGAAAGGTTGCAGTTTCTAAAACATGGTGGACATTGAACAGTGTGCAACAAGATAATGCTGTCAATTATGTCCCATTGTCACAAGCCTTTGAACAAACATGAGGGTATGTCCAGTTTTTCAGAGAAGATATTTTACATTTATGAATGATTCAGGTATACAGTACTGTTTTCTGTCTTGGATTATTGACATGAATGCACAAAGAAGTGTTTGCAGAATTTTTGAAAAGATGAGAATTATGTGTTGATACTTATATTAAATCAAAGCTGTGTGGCAGAAGGCAGGTGCAATATTTTATGAGGATTAGAAATACAGTACTGTTGTATTTGGCTTTTTAGCCAGACCGACAGACACTGATGTGGTCTGCCACATGGCCAAAAGAGGTACGCAACCTGGCGGAAGAATTCCTGAAGGATTACATCCAGATCAATGTGGGGTCACTACAGCTGTCTGCAAATCACAACATTCTTCAGATCATTGATGTGTGTCAGGAGTACGAGAAGGAACAGAAGTAAGTTGCTTGTTTATGAGTGTAATTTTATGTGCAGTTGTGCTGTATATTCTGAATGTTTAATGTATAATATATTTGTACATTTATGGATGATAACAGAATGTTTGAGGTCATGTTTCAGGTTTTGGATGGGATTTGTAATAATTCAGTTCCTTTGTTAGAGTGCTTGCCAGCAGCAGAAACAGGCAGACACTAATATATATATATATATATATATGTGTATATGTATATAACTCCACGGCTTTTAGTCCGCAAGCGAACTATACCGCCGCTTTTTGGTGAAATTAGTGCCAATTTTTGTGAATAGAGGGTGTCGCATGGTTAGCGGAATGGATTCCCACTGTCAATAATCTCGGTTTTCTATACTGGAGCCACTACTTTTCCATTCAAGTAGCTTCTCAGTTATCCCTATGAGGCAGAGTGGATCCCATTCCAGACCCAGTGCTTCTCAGAAAATCTGGTAGCGCTGGAAATCGAACCTGGGACCTCTGGATCTGTACCAGGAGCTCTGACCAGTAGACCTTGGTCAAAATTTGAGGCACAGTATTTTCTGGTATTCCCAAAAGCTCCTCAATGAGTCTTGCAGAAACACATCTGTCTGATGCAAGGATTGTGGTCACTTTTTTCACATATTCTTCTGTGCATTCTCGGCTTTGATGCATGTGGATCGTCTTCAGTGTCCTCCCTGCTGTCACAAAATACAGCATACCATCGAAAAATGTTTGAGTGACTCAAACAGTCACTACCGTGAACCCTTTTCATCATTTTATACGCTTCTCCGGCTGTTTTGCCTAACTTCAAACAAAATTTGACGTTGGCTCCCTGTTCCAACTGCCATTTTCCGATGAGCGTCAGAACAGTACTGTTACATTCAATACCAGAACATGATGAAGCAGTGCTTGCGCTTTGAAGTTATAGACAGCCACAGCCGAAACTTCAAGAATCTTAATGCCACAACTCGCCAACAGACGGCATTGTAGGGCAAAATTTAAATAAATCAGTCCTAACAGATCCTGGACACACTGTGTATGATGTAAACTTCTTCGCTATGAATCTTATTATTATTAGGTACATGATACTGATGAATGAAATGATAATCGATTAACATTGTTACTGAAGCGTAATATTTATTTAAATTTTGATCTAAAGGACTTGAATAATTTTCAGTAATATTCATATTACAGTTTGTAATGATTTTCTGAGGGAATTAAAATTGTCACTAACCACAATTTTGATGCAGTAGTAAGAATTGTGGTAATGATGCAGTTACCTTTGCCATGTATTCTTGTAGGGGGTACAGATCGAGGAAAATGCTACATCTTAAATAATACATAGAATGTGTTTAAAATTAAGCAAATGCTACAGTACATAACACACCAGATCATCTTAAATAAAGAATTTAAAGTACTTGGGTCTGATAGCATGACCACCTCTGTGGTCTAGTGGTCAGAATTCCTGGCTACATATCCAGAGGTCCCAGGTTCGACTCCCAGCTCTACCAGATTTTCGGTGAGGTAGTGGGTCTGGAATGGGGTCCACTCAGCCTCATGAGGATAAATGAGGAGCTACTTGAATTTAAAAGTAGTGGCTCCAGGCTAGAAAACCGAGATTAACGGCCGTGAGAATCCATTGCACTGACCACACGACACCCTCTGTCCACAGACGTTTGCACTAACTTCGCAGGCAAGTGGCAGTTACTTGGTTGGTATAGTTCACTTGCAGACTAAAGGCCAGGGAGTTTGATTGTTGGGTCTGATAGCATTAGCATCCATAGAATTTGAGTGGGGTGGAAAACCATTATCAAAGAAAACACTCATTTCTGTAAATTTGAATTATATTTCTGTTGAAAAATGAAGTGGTAGACTGGCTAAAATACTGCTAGTTAAAATTTGAATGAATTAATATGTGAATGCATATTGTGCTTTGGGAACAAGTGTTTTAAGGTTCCTTCTTTCCTCCTATCTTGGCATGCCTCTACCGTGTTCATCCGTGGAGCATGAATGCTTATAGGAGGTACATAAAAATGTGGATATAATGCCTTCGGTGTTCACTCAATCAGTGTGTGGATCCCATCCTCATCATTCTCGACAAAGTTTCCTTTAATGAGAGTTTGATTTTTGGATTTAGCTGTACAATTCTGGGAGTATATCCTTGTTTGCATTTGATTGCAGGCTTAGCACACTGTTGAAAGAAATAATGGCAGAGAAAGAAAATAAGAGCATTGTATTCATTGAAACAAAAAGGAGGGTTGATGAAATCACTCGAAAGATGCGCAGAGATGGGTAAGAGTCTGCATCTTGACTTGCAGATGATAATCGTTTGTTTTTCATTTTCCTTTGTTCTCTTTCCTCCTCATTTGTTATTTTTCTTTCTTCTATTGAGTAGGATGGTACTATTGTAACCCTGAGGACTGTGTTTTTGATAAATTATTGCACATAAAATAATTATTTACAGTGTAACTTTCTGGAAAGTCCAGTTCAAGGGTGATGTACTTCTTCCACAGGTGGCCAGCTGCATGCATTCATGGAGACAAATCTCAGCCTGAAAGAGATTGGGTGTTGCAGGGTAAATATTCAAATTGTTATATTCATCTATATTAGAAGCTTTACGTCAGACGTAATGTAATAATTTGGATACAGATTTAATGGAAATAGGGTTACCCTGCAAGATGCTGCCAGGCATTATACATCCCCCATCTCTTGGCGTGACTCAGTAATTTTATGTTGAGCCACTGTGGTTTTGGGAGGTATAGAAGTTTTGAGGGGATCAGTGGAATTGAACAGGTCCCTCGTACAGTCGCATGCTTCACTTATAAGAATTCGTGAAGGTATCATAATGATTCCTATCATTCTTTTAAAATGTGCAGAATTATGGTAGCCAAGATAATTGATTTCATTAAATTGGAGCACTTTTGTCTCAACACCACCCTTCCACTATAATGTTTCGAAGCTGTGGTGCCAGTGACCAGAGGATGAGGGTAGGGAAGGCAGCAACAGACACTGACCGTCACATCATATTACACCAGTGAGAATGTGATATGACCACAAATGAATGACTAAATGACAGAGAAATATACATTTAAAATGAATGGTGCTAAGATGTTGACACACGAGTGAGTGGATCACATAATCATTTCAGTGTGAGAGGATTTTATCAGGCATACAAAAAATCTACAAGATGATGATTTTTATTAATACTTCATGAGAGATAAAGTCATGGAACCATCATAATCATCATCAACAACAACAGTACAGCAGAGTCCTTCAGCTCTGAATGTAGTGATGATGATATGATGGCCGAGTTCATTTCATTTCCATTTGTTTTAGTACTAATGATTAACACATCATATTGTCACATATCCTGGTAACGCAATAAGAAATTGATGGGTTTCGGATTAGACAAAGCTGTTTATTGGATAAGTCATTTACAAATACAATTACAGTCACTCTGAAATAATGTCTTCCAGATGATGCATCCTGGCTAGTATGCTGTCTTCTGGTTGTTAGCTGAGCTGGTTTCTTCTGCTCTCATCTCTGCTTCATTCGCCTCTGTTCTCTGTGTCAATTCTGACCTCTCGTGGTCTGTTATAACTGACATTCGGACAGCCTAGAAGACACCTTTTTCAAGGGTTCCGTTTCACGTGTTCTGTTCATCAGTAGCTCTTTTCGTTTCTATGGGAACTTCACTAGTTCCGGTTTTTCACTTGCATAATAATGCCTGTTATGTACTTATATGAGTTGTCACTTGAACCTGTGTCATTGTCACCCCGACTACACAGAACCGTGGATACTGAGCTGTTGCCTAACAATAGATGCCTGCTGTGACTCAGATATTCTGGCTTTTAGGCAGCACGCCACAATATGTATTCACCTATAATTAGTATTGTCTCAACAATATGCAAATGCAGAGCTGACTAGAAATTGGAAACAGTCTCACACATTGTTCCAAGTATGTCACAGTATTCCTTCGTGCAGCCACATGCTTTGGGAGGATGGTGATCACTGTATCCATGTAGTAGAGTCCTTGAGAAGCTAGTACTTCAGAAGTCAAAAAATTCCCTGCCTTTTGTGGAACCTAAAGGTTCATTACCATGCTTATGAGGCCCATCACTCTTTCCTAATCAGACTCAGATAAATTCCGTTCATACCCTTCTATCAAGTTCTTAAAATATATTTTAACCTTTATTATATGAGAAGAGGCTATTTAAGTTGCTGTAATATAGGACTGGTAGCCACATTTTACCTTGTAATGGTCTTAATGTTGAAAAAAAGGTTATCCTTAGAACTATCCCTGCTGAAGTATTCTGGTAAAAATTGTTTGATAGACAATGCATTAGTGAATTCTTATACTCCTACAGATTTGTCTGTGTGGGGATATGCCAGTCAAGTATTGTCGCACATTCTTAGCTCTAGCAGGGAGCATAATCTATGCTGGAACAAGGTCTTTGAACAGTTTGTTACAGTTCAGGGATAAAGAAAGTCTGCTTCATTGCAAGATGGAAGTCCCCACTGACTATTGCTTCTCAAAAAAGAAATGAAATACCAATATTGCATTATTTTTGGGAGTGTACCAGACATCTAGTTTTGTAGAATCTCTTTCATGTTGTCAAACATCTTAAGTTTTTGTCTTAGGAAAATGTGGCAGTTGTGGCATTTGACTTTAACACTGACATATTATGATACTCATCAGAAACAGTAACAGCATTAGAATTTAAGGCATTATGAATTATTCTTCCCATATACCATTAAGGATGTTATGAGCTGTTCTTCCATATAATATTTGCAGTTTAGCTTCTATCATATGTGAGTCCAAAGTTATTAATCTTTAAATCTTCACATTTAAATACTACATATATTGTGGACAAAAATACATGAAGTAGACTGTGCACAGAATTTGTTTAACTTTTCATGTCCTCATTAGAAGCAGTGTCACTTGTTGGCTGGATCTATTTATTCAGAAGATTTGTGAAAGATTTGCCTTCTCAACATTGAACATGGTTTTGTTTGATAACATTTATTGTTTTGGAATGGAAGATTTTAAATAACCCAGTACTAGGGGCCAGGTGGCCAAATTTAAACTTTGAAGATGACAGTTTGTCTGAGATTGGGAATTTCAAGTCTCCCATTTCTACAGATTTTGACTTAGGAGTAATTGTATTGAAAAAATGCAGTGCACTCACATTCGGTAATGCAACACATTGTCAGTAAAAGTTGATAATAGAAATTATTAATTGGGTATGATGGAAATGTGGTTACAGAATAAGGTTTCTTTAACCGATTAAGGACCAAAATCTGGTGTGGCATATACAATTTGCAGAGACATGTGCTTTGAAAATTTGAATACTAAGGCATTGTTTTCTGTACCCATTTGCTTGCAGCTTGTGTGTGCAGGTCAGGCTACTTATTTATTTGAGGACCAAGGTCCACTGTGCTTCAGAATTTTCCATAAAATTTATAGTTTCCAATTTCAGTTTAATACATTTGTCATGATTTATTTATATGTGCAAAAGATGTCATTGTCTTTGATTAGTAAATGAAAAGTTACAGGAATTTCATTCATTTAAGCCAAAACAACCCAGTCCATAATCAGTTAAATAAAATCAGTATGGAGAGGATATATAAATATCTAGTTCTGACATTCAGACTTAGCTGTTTCTTGCTGAGTGGACTGTGTATAATGGTAACACTTGGGACCTGTATTCAGGAGGTGCACTGTTCAAATCTCAGCCAAATCAGTAGCTACCCTGGACGGTATTTTATAGTTTTCCTGAGCCTCTTCAGCAAATGATGGAATAGTACCTCAATTAGGCCATGACCGCTTCCTTCCAGATCCTTTCAAGTTTGTCATTGCTAGTCATTCCACCACTTGACGTTATATACTCTAGGAAAACTTCAGCCAGGACACTGACTGAAATTTTTCATGGTTTTCCCTAAATTTTGCCAGACATACTAGACTAGTACCTTCACTTACGCCATGACTATTCCTTATGTGTCCTTTGCAGTTCATTATTCACTGTGCTCCAAACATTTGACACTGTATAGTCTTAGTTATGGGCAGTGTCATTGGAAAAAAAAGTACATATAATTCTTGAATATTGGTTCCTTTATGGGGCATGCGGAAGTGTAGTTGGTTGAGGCACCTTACCATCTGTTATCCAGTAGTTTAGAGAAAATGTGGGAGCCTTGATGTCTCACAACCCTATGGGCCTTCACGGTCTGTTACAGGGATAGATTTACCATTTTGTGTAAATATAGTCGTGTGCTTCACTTCAAATGAATGAGAACTCGTGATGTTTCACTACATGAAAGTAGTCCTTTGAATGTTATGAGTAATCACTCCACAACTCTGATGTCCTTGTTGTAAAATGGTTTAATTGTTCTTTTGCACCCTTAAATTTTTCTAATGGTGAAACCAGAGTATGATAAATTACTGATTCCAATTTTGTTACATATTTATGGGCAGTGGAATTGAGTAAGCAGGAACAATTTTTACTTCCTTTGTTTTGCTTCATCAGCTATAAAAATTTGCGATGTGTTGTTGCAGAATTTCGATCTGGCAAGTCACCAATTCTTGTGGCGACAGATGTTGCTGCTCGTGGTCTAGGTAGGTTTGTGGACCTGTCATTCAGTTTAACACATTGTATTTACTCTTGTGATATGTGAACTATAATGAGTTGTGTGAACATCTGAAGGGGACAGTGCATGTCACCGCCAGACTGACATGAGAACCGTAAATGGGGGGCATATAATTTGAGATTGTTGAATGTGTGCTTATACTGAACAAATAGGATACAGGTATCATGTAAATTTGAGTTGTTTCTTACAGGTGTGCCTTTTTGGGGTGGGAAGGAGGTACCAGTGTTCAGATTTCACAGTGATGAGATATAGGGAGGTTTATTCAGCATTTTGACTGTTAAGTAGTACATTTACAGTAAAGTATAGAGTTCATCTTCTGTTCAGCTTATTGCCTTATTATGGGTGATATTTACATACATTTTCTTTATATATATATATAAAATAGGAGATTTATGTTGTGCCTTAAGAGTGTTTTTGTAGTATGACTGAAAAGTTACAGCTGTTACATGTAGCTTAATAGTATAGGCATTACTTCAGGTTTTATGGTTAATTTTCCATAAACTTCATGTTTATAATTTTGTCAGTAAAGGTTTCTTCCATGTAATTTGCCACAAGAATCTTGAATAGTTCATTCTCTGAGAAGTGAAATTTCTCTGGGCTAGGGTTGCTGTTTTCTCTTTGTATTCTACGCTCATGAAAATTATAGAATTTTATAGCTGAATTTGGTATGAACAATTTTGTACTGTAAATGAACCACTGGAGAATACAATTTTGCAACTATACAAAACATCTGTGCCTCATAGGTGGGTCATTCTCCTATTCCTTTTGAAAATGTAAGTTGTCACAGTTCATCAAAGGTATTTATTTATTTTTCAGTGCTTTGTGTTCTTGTCAAAAAGTTTTTGACCCATAAGTATACAAGGGTAATAACAACTGAAAATATCATAAAATAAGAATGTTTGTAACAGCAGGTCTCATGGGCTCTGCAGTTTGAATCTGGCATATAGAGAGATGGGAAAGTGGTTATCTTTTCAGTTTCATTTTCTGATCCTTTTGAAAGTTAAGTCCAGAAAAATAATTCACACGTCATGCAGATATGTAGATTGTTAAAGTGTAAGTTCTTTTATTCCAAAATAGTCAACATGTCTTTATTTTTTCTTTTCTGTAATGTTTATAAGGGAAATCAAATTTTTCTATAGTGGCCCCTTTTTTTAAAATATCTTAAAGTGAGGAACTGTTTGAGATGTCTACAAGAAGTTGTAATGCATTCATTATATGAGAAATATGATAGTAGATTGCTTATTACCTGTTTCTGTTGTGACACACAGTTTTATTGACCTTTTAAGAAAGTTATTTGATTTGTTCAATGAGTGAGAAGTGTTTTTATGTCTTTTTAGTTGAGCAAATGTGATTTGATGTGTTCATGTGAATCCAAGGTATAACATCAGCATGTTGTATTGATGATATCACCATATTTTTCTTAATCATTTCTGCCATGTGTTATGTATTAATGAAGAATCTCTTAAATGTTGATGAGACATGTAATATTATCCTTGATGAAAAATACAAAATTTTCTGATATGCTGTTTAAATCTTGACAGAATCAGGCAGCCTTGTATTCATACCTTGTTCAGTAAATTGTTCAGTAGTTAACAACAGTGGTTTGCAAACATTTGATGGTTTCATCCACAGAATTGTCATTCCTCCCTCCCTATTTGATCACTCTGTTAACCATTTGGACAAATAATAGCTTATAACCCCAAATCATAATGGTTTTACTCAGTCTCTCCAGGAAAATGCCTGTAATTACGTCATGACTGCTTCCTTTGTGTTTCCAACCAAGACTGACAGCTTTTCTAGAATGTGTACAAAATGTGGTTATGTAAAGCATAACCTTGTAATTCATCATTCGAAGGTAGCCTTGCATTGTATTGATTACTTTTTCAAATTCTTTGAATGTCTTTTTCTTTTAGCCCTATCATTTTCTGTCAGTTTCCTATAATAGATCATTACACAGTACCCGTCCTTAAAATATTGAAGCTTTACACTTGTAAATATAATACACATAAGATTCAGTGTTTCAAATTAGAACTTTTCCGTCCTGTTAAGCTTTATGTAATACATCAGCAGGATTCAAATTAATCTGTTCTTGACCAAATTACTAGTATTAACAGTACTTTAATATAACATTAAAACTGAAGTCCTTTGTTCTCAGAGTAGACTGTATGAGTTCTCACAGCTGCATAACTGGACTGATTCTGTAAACTAATATTACCATGAAGAAAGCAGTCTTCTGGGATGTGGCACCGCGTAGATGTGGTGTTAACCGACGTTTTGGAGGAATGTATGGCCTCCATCTTCAGGGTAGAAGGAAAAACAAGAAATCCACAAGCGAGGAGACCATAAGAACCGGTACAAGCAGACATTCCTCCGAAACGTCGGTTAACACCATATCTACATGGTGCCACATCCCAGAAGACTGCTTTGTTCATAGTCACCGCCGTGAAAACCTCAAATCTTATATAATATTACCCAAAGTTTTGGAGGAACATACACCTCCATTTTCAGGGTCAAAGGGTAAGCTGAGCAAGCAACATGAAAGCAGATTGCTTATTGTGTGCTTTGCTTACCCTTTGACCCTGAAGATAGAGGCAGTATGAAGCAGATGAAACTTCTAGCAGACTACATTGTGTCACATCCCAGAAGATTCTACTTCATAGTCAACACCATCAGAATGTTTAACCTCAAGTTTGGTACAAAGAAGAGAATATTTGTTCTTGAAGGCTGGATTTTTCAATTGATGATGGTGTTTTGTTTTGGGTCATGCTGGAAGCCCCATGTCTCCTTATGAGTCTAATATTGTTTCATATGGTCTCATTCTTTTGTCTTGCCAAGATTCTGGGCAAATTTCTTTTTACCTTTTTGCTGATATACTTAACTGCCATTTTGACGTACTTTTCTTGTTCATATCTTTTTCAAAACTCTCAGTTTTTCTTCATGTTTGGTTCTACTGCCTTCTGAATAGTTAACCATTTCTTGCCATTTCAGTCCTTGTCCACATTTGTAGCAGTTCTAGGATTTGTCATGCAGCCAAATTGTCTGTAATAACCTCTCCATCCTGAAACCGCTTAAACAATACAGAAACATACAGTCTTGTTATTGTTCCCTCCTTTTAAATTGACTGTAACATTTTGTGACAATTACAGTTTCCTTCAATTAAAAAAAAAACAATGTAATGTTGATTCTCTGTTCTAATAAATTATGTCCATGTGTTTGAGAAAGTAACAAAACATGCCAGTAAAGTAAATCTCTGTTGAGACAAAATGGCTGAATTATGTACGCACTGGACCAAACACCAACTCGCCAGCATTTTCAGTTGCTGCTGATAAGAATTTCAGCTTATTTATTACATATATTTGGAATTTGGAAACCACTTTTAGCCTTGGATTCGCATGAAATGTGTTTCAGGAAGAAAATCTGTCAAGGCAGAAAGGAGGTGGCTGGAGCAGAAGTTCATTAACAAGCTCGGTCTTTTCTTTTTCTTACAGAGGCACATGCGAGATAATGCAAAAGGTGGTTTGCATTGTCGTTCAGGCTGTGCCTCTCTGCGAATGGTTGGTTACTCTCCGCTAGGCCGGTGAGAGTTAGCCACATGTGTCGGGATTTCGGGTGCGGTGACGGTGGGGGCCCGACTGGACCTAACCGCTTGCCCACCCGGGGGCCCGTCTGTCGGCTGTTCTCCGCCGTGTCTTGGGCCCACCGGGTCAGTAGCGTGCTCCGCCTGTGTGCCGGGCGATTGGCACGCATATGAAGGCTGTGGAACGTGTTGGGGATGGCCAGGTGCATGCTCTGAACGTGAGTGTGGCATCGATTTGGAAGTTAGATGATGGGTTGGAGGGAAATTCCTCATTCATTAGCAGGGAAATTTGCAGGGTTTGCGTGGAGTGTGCACCTGAGACCTGCCTCACTGACTGTTCCTAGATGTGTTAGTCAGGTAATGCCAACTGTTGTCAGGATTGTACTTAACTTGACATTTTCTATTACAGGGCTTTTTAAGTTTCTTGCTGATGCTTTTATTTAGTGAAATAAATTTGAGTTTTCCATTAATACAGACAATTAAAATTTTAGTTTTGTAGGTAGTCCTTAAAATGATTATTTTATCAATAGCCTTATCTAATTAAATATTACGTTGGTCCCATTTATTTTTCCATTGATCTGAGTGGTGAACTGTTGCAGATGTGGAAGATGTCAAATTTGTCATCAACTTTGATTATCCATCAAGTTCAGAGGATTATGTGCACCGTATTGGACGTACAGGTCGCTCTCAACGCACTGGTACAGCTTATACATTCTTCACACCTGGCAATGCCAGGCAAGCCTCAGACCTAGTGGCTGTTCTTAGAGAGGCAAACCAAGTCATCAACCCAAAGCTGTATGAGATGGCAGAAACATCTAAAGGGCTTGGTGGGAGAGGTAATGAATTGCATCAATATCTCAGAGATTTTTATGGACATAAGTTTTAGTAGGAAAGACTTATTCACAAACTGAACATTGTGGTGTTACTCTGTATGGTTAACACAAATTGTTTCGGCACTGTTTCCATTTTTAAACTGGGCCAGTGCACAAGAAGTCTTCAGTCTCTTCTGAAAGTCTGCTGAAGCATCATATGTGTTATCTCCTAAATCTCTTTCCAATATATTTTAATTTTGTTGGTATCATCATTTATCTGTTCCTTTTTATATGGTCATACAATTGTAGTAGTTACTTTTCTGACCATTAACAAACTTTCAGTTTCAAATGTTTCTCTTATAACTTCAGTCTCGATTCTCTCCTTTCTTTCCTTTCCATAATTTTTCTCCAAATGTTGTGTTCATTTTTTGGATTTTCCTTTTGTTTCTGATAGTAAAGGTCAGTATTTCAGCATTGCAGGGTGTACTTGGTTTAAATATACTTTACAACTTATTGTTCTGCATTGCTTTGAGATCTGTATGTTCTGTAATATTCCTTTCATAATTTCATGCAGTTTAGGACTCTTTGGTATTCTTTTGATGTTTCCATCAGTTTTTCCTTTCCAAAAAAATCTGTCCACCTCTTTAAACGTAGTGTTGGATATATCTATTCTGATGTTTGTGTCTAGATTTCTTGAAATCTTGTCCTTTCTCATTTTCAACCCTTATGCATTTGGAAGTAGTCTTTTCTACAAAACCATTATATTGTTTCTCCCAGATTAGTGTGTGTCTGCAAGTATTAATGTGTGTGTATTGGTCCTTTGTTCTCTCCTCGGAATTGGTATTTCCCAGAGTGGAACCTAGAGCCTCCAGCCAGCCATGAAGTTTTTCTCACAGGTTTCGAAAAAGTGGCCTGATAACAGACTTGTTGGAGATTCTAAAATACCACATTAAATTATAAGCATGCAGTTCATTGAAAAAAAAAATACTTCGGTTCATTAGTAATTTGTTTGCAATTGCGAAATCACAGTTTTAAGTAAGTTTTGTAGGCTTGAGGTCTAACATTTTTATTAACATTAAGACGAACTTGGACAAGAGAGTCCATAAACAACTGTTCTTGGTGACGTAAATATATTTGTTCTTAATGCTGATTTGTTGCAAGAATTTTTTGGTAATATCATTTTCAGAAAAAGTTAGGCTTACAAAATCACCATGCTGTCTGTGTCAGAGTGTCCCCCCCATAAACTTTTGAATGTTTGAACCAGTCTTCATAAAACTTCATATGTGTATCATGGCACCACAGCTGATCTCAGCAGTATACTTCATAAATCCTTCTCTTGAGTGTGTGTGTCTGTATTTGTATCCCCTATTATTGCTAGGCAGTTGTAACATTATTTTAAAAGCAAAATCTACATGGTTGATTGCAGGGAGGAACAGATGGAGAGGCAGAGATCGAGACAGGGAGAGTTGCCGTGATAGGGATCGAGACAGAGACAGAGACAGAGATCGAGGAGGGCGAGGATATGGAGGTCGCAGTCGTTCCCATAGCCGCAGCAGGAGCCGATCACGCAGTCGTAGTCGTGGGGGCCGTGACAGGAGTCGCAGCAGAAGCCGTAGCAGAGACCGGCGCAGAGACAGAACAAGAAGTCGAAGTCCCAGAGACCGACGAGATGATCGATCAGGCAAGTTGGATGATCAACCACTGTTGCCTCAGCAGATGGCATTGCTAGGCATCCACACAGCCATTTTCCTGCCACCTCCTCCTGTTACAAATTTCCATGATGTCCGTCTTCCTTGGGGGAACAGCATGTCATGCCACCAACTAACAGCACTGCCTAATGGTATGGTTGTCACTTGAAAAGGTTTCTGTCTTGCTAAGGGACACAGCATGGTGTAACACTAATTTGTGATATGTAGATGCATTTTTGGTGTACATCTGTACTTTTCAACTTTTGGTCATGTTGCTTCTTGTTTTAGATGAATATGTGATCGGCAATAGCTACTGGAGCTCGGCCACGGGGGAGAGGTGAAGAATCTGCTACGTGAAAATTTGCATAACAGAGAAGTTCCCCCATATTTCTCCCAGCCTTACCATTCCTTGACCAGGAGGAGGTGGCCGTATAAAATGATGTACAGTATTGTAGTTGAAAATAAATGTTTGTTTCTTCAGTTGTGTATTATTACCTTGACTCACTCATTTCCTCGCTGTTCGGTTTTGTTTTAGTATGAGGCAACCCAGTGGCCAGACTCTGCCATTGTCCCCCCACGTACTAAACGATGGAAGAAGAAGGATGTTTCTGTTTTTTGTCTTTTTATACATAATTGAATAGCCATTCCAGAACTAATTTTATTAGAATCAAATATCAGTATTTTACACAGATCCATTCATTTATCCATCATTACATGTTGACAGCTGGTATCTACGAGTATTCTCTTATGTATTGTACTAGTATTATAAACCATTTATGGAAAAATATATATATGTAACATATATGCTTAAAAATTTATTTGTGTAACATCCCTGTGTGCAGTAACCAAGCTTCTGGGTGATGAGACGAACATCATACAAAAAAAAAAAAATCTGATTTCAGTCTGCAAGCGAACCATACCGACTGAGTGACTACCGCTTGTTGGCTAAGTTTAGTGCCAAATTTTGCAGATAGAGGGGTGTTGTGTGGTCAGCGCAACGAATTCCCACGGCCGTTAATTTTGGTGTTCTAGACCAGAGCCGCTGTTTCCCTGAAATAGCTCTCTGTTATCACGAGGCTGAGTGGACCCCGTTGCAGACCCACTACTTCTCTGAAGAAATCTGGTAATGCCGGGAATTGAACCCAAACCCGGACTTCTGGATCTGTAATTGGGAACACTGACCACTAGACCATAGAGGTGGTCATCACTAAGTTCATTTTCCTTCCAAGAAATTTAAAAGGTGCATCCTGTGCATTATAGAAGCTTGTTAACAATTCTATCTACCTTCCAGCCTGATTCACCAGGAAGAGTTTTAACACATTTTAGTGTGTGCCATATATATCCTGAAATTTTCCACTGCCAAACTTGTATGCAGTTATTGTTCTTTCAACAAACCGTGCAAATATTATATCTCAACGTCCTTGAGCTAATGACAGCAATATTAAGTGAAGCGTACAGACTGTAACGTTTATCACGCGATACACTCCATTTCACTGTTACTTGGTGGATATGATTATAATCTAAATCTTGCACACACTTGCATGGCAGTGGATGTGAAGCACTCTTCAGGGCTTAATGTGATGTAGTTCGGTGATGTCTGCTGACATTTCTGTGGAACATCATCTGGGTAAAAAGGTAAAGACAAAGTTTTGCTGTGCTAAAGTAATTAAGTACTGCACCATGAACGTGTATGGGGTAGTGGATGTGTAGATCCATGTATTCTCAACTGCTTGCCACTACCAGACTCCAACCCCATGGCCTTCCAGGCCATAGCCAGTGGCTATACTGGGTGTCCACCAACAACTAGGTCAAGGAGTAAGTCAAATCAGCAATAAGCAGGTGGTCTCCCCTGATACAAATCTGGTCATCCAAATTCTTCCCTCTCTTTAATTGACAGTGGGTTTCTTTCCTGGGGTTATTCTTCAACCACGAAAGTACTGGGGGTACATTCCTCTGAAATGTAAACAACCAAGCTAGGTGGTGTGACAGTCCAGAAGATAGTGATTTTCATTATTGTTATAAAGTCGATGCAGAACTGGGGTAGCTCAGTTGGTATAGTGATGGGCTGGATGGCTGGGGTTCAATTACTGACATGAAGAGATTTTTCTTTCCTCCACAGTGTGTAGACCAGTCTAGACGGACTCTGGGGCCCACCCAGCCTCCTGTTCAATAGGTATTGTGGTCACATTTTTAACAAGTAAAGTGGCCAAGGTGTGAAGCAGACCACTCACCCCAATATAGTGCCGGCGTAAAGAATGATGTAGTCATTCCTCTAGTCTCCCATACTTCTGTATGGATGCGCTTATTAAGCTTGTGGTAAACTACCCTTTAACAACATTGAGCTGAGTCTTTGATAAGTTGCAGTCATTCGGCTACCCAAGAATTTACCAAATATTTTATGGAACCCCCGAGGTTCATTACAGTGCTGACGAAAGCCCTGGGCTAGCCCCTTATCAGCCAGGTGAATCCAGCCCGTGTCACTTTATCCAATAACTCTTTAAGATCCATCTTAATATCGTTCCTACCTACGTCTAGATTTTGCTGGTGTTCCCACCAAGACCCAATGTTACTTCCTCATATTCAAATACATTATTATTATGATTATTATTATTATCCCGACGTTCAACCCTTTTGAAAAATGGACTCAGCTGATTCTGTGGTGAAGATCGTCAAATGCCATCTGGCGGCTGCAATGCAACTAGGAAGCGAGCCAAGTTATTGGTTACTTTGTATCCAATAGACTGTTTGGTCGAAAGCGCAAGTACCGTGGTCCGTTGTGTCTTTCTTGTATCTGCCATTATCGTTTTGTTTGCCGGCTTGGTAGGTGAGGTGTTATGACAAAATGTCTTTGTTTATTGAAAGAATGTAAAGAAGGGAACTTGTGCTGTGTTGTATAACATATTGTTACAGAACTGTTTTACTACTTTGTGAATTAAAGATTTTGAGTTCTGCGCATTGAGCTACACATAACAGATTTGGTTTTTTCTTTCAGGTGTGATTGGTGGCAAGTGACATTTGACCGTTCTGAAAGTTGGTTGATGCTGTATCATGTACAGCAACGGGTTCTCGAATCACAACATGTATGTAACTAAACACTTTGAATTGCATATTATTTTAAGATAGCGATTGTTTTAGCACATTCATTTTACAGTTTCTGTTTGGTGACCTTATTTCTGCCATTTTAAAAATCCGTCATTTTATGTTCTACCGAAAGAAAGCCCAATATGTTTTTAACGGTCGCATTTAAAGTAGGAAGCTGTTTCTAGATAGGGTTATTGAAGTGAGTTGGTTTTTAGGCGCCAGATCGTCTAAGGTTATTCTTAGTTGCTATAATTTGGAACATTAATTAATTACACTTCCCTCATACCTATGCCATCACTTAGCAATTTGTGCCCTAGGTACAGAGGAGATCGGGAGCAGTTGAAGAGTCGATATTGGGCAAACCAGCAGAATAATCAAAATGGACAAAATGAGAAGACAAATGTAAAGGGAAAGCAGCCTGGTGAGAACCTGAAGAAACCTCAGTGGGACTTACATAATCTGCAACCATTTCTGAAGGATTTTTATGTTCCTCATTCAGATGTTGCAAACAGGTCAGTGAGTAGGGATAATTGTTAGGTATATTTGATTGTGTAAGTGTTAAAACATGGTTTTTCTTCTGTTTGTAATATTTTGCTATCTTTTCATTGTAGGTCTCTTGATGATGTGAAAAAGTACAGGGACAGCAAAGCTATCACTGTCAAAGGAAATAATGTCCCACCTCCAAGCCAGTATTTTGAAGAAGGAAATTTTCCAGATTATGTCATGAGGGAAATTCTGTATGTGAGGTCTTCATCAGTGTATTTTACTGTCTTTCCCTTCCATCTCCCATACCAAGCCTAATGATTGTATGATATATATTGCAGGAAGCAAGGTTTCGCAGAACCTACAGCAATACAGGCCCAAGGATGGCCTATTGCTTTGAGTGGAAGGGACATGGTTGGAATTGCACAGACTGGATCGGGAAAGACTCTTGCTGTGAGTGTTATTCTGTTTTTGAATATTTTTGCTATTGATACCATAGGCTTTGTTTGAATATTAACAATGTTGACTTGCCCCTTTACAGTATATGTTGCCTGCAGCAGTCCATATTAACCACCAACAGCGTCTCAGTCGAGGCGATGGTCCTATAGTCCTGATTCTTGCACCAACACGAGAGCTGGCACAGCAGATCCAGACTGTTGCTAGAGACTTCGGAACATCTTCCCTTATTCGTAATACCTGCATATTTGGAGGTGCACCAAAGGGGCCTCAGGTATGATTCAGTGTTGGCAGCTGGCATTATAGCCCCCGTACCATTACATTTGAGGCATTGCTTCATTTTTATCAAAAATAAATGTGAAGCAGCTGTAGAGTATGGTTATCAGACTGTCCTTTGTTTTTGCGTTCTATTTAGTTATTAAATATGAACAGGTCTTAACTCTTTTTTTTTTTTCTTCACTGGCTCTACAACCCCCTTGGGCCTTGGCTTCTGATTTTCAGTTTCATGATCATTTTACACACATTTGAGGACTTTTTGGACAAGTCGCAAGACCACTACCTAAACACAGAATAAACACACGTGTATACCAAACATCCATGCCTTGTGTGAGATTCTAACCCATGATCTTGGCTTCCGAGTGAGCAAAGACTACATGCCTTAGACCCCTCAGCTACCGTTACTGGCCTGGTCTAACTTACCTAGTGCAAATTAATAGTCAGCTTTGTAGAGGAATACTAGTGTCTTAATGCTCTTGCTGGCAGGTGTACAGCATATATGAATTTGGTTTCTTATTCACAGTAGGAATTAAATCGCTAAAGACTTGAAGGAAAATTACAAGAGAAGTTAAATACTGAATAAATGAATGCATGTGTGCATGCTGTATTAGGTGTGTTATTATTTACACTTTACCTTGCTGTAGTTAGACTCATGGGTCCCACACTTTAGCTTAAATTATCATTGCTGTAGTGCGGATCTCACTCATTATATATTGTCGTTTTATTTATACTTATCCTTTACTACATTTACTAATTGCTCTTAGTCTGAAATTATTTCTAATTTCTACCTCTTATGCTCTCTTACCATCCTTCCCCATTCCTCTTTATGTTTAATTATATATATTCCTATTTTACACAAGTTGCTTTTTATTTTTGCATCATATTATCCGCTTAGTTCCTGCTTCTGCATTGATATTCCTAAACCACCTGTCCAAAATCACATCCATCCAAATCTTTGTTCCTTCGTCCTTCATTTTGTGGCTCAGTCTACTTTTTTGTTATGTGTGGGTTAATTCTCTTGCTTATTATTTCTGCAAATCCCTTATACTGTCCAGACTCATATTTTTGATGATGCTGGTATTCTCCTGGCTTCTCCTGTACATAATTCTCTATGTACAGCCTGTGATCTCAGATGTTCCTTGAACTATTATACAATGTTAGTAAACTTCTATTATTTTAATTTTAATATAATGCTACTCTATATCAACATATTTTTTACTTACCCTTATCCAGATTTTCTTATCACTATTTCTTCCATTCTGTCAAATATCCCCTATGCCTGGCCATCCCTATTCTTGTTTAATCTAGTCCTCCAATGTCTCACCCTCGTTACTATTTCGGTGTATCCTGAAGCAGATTTATCTCATCTGTTTTTTGAACAGTCTTAAGTGATGTGTCATAACTCCATACTTCTGTTTATTTGCCCCATTTCCTTCACACAAGCATTATTCACTGAATTCCCTGTTACACTCTTATAATATAACTTGTGCACTTTCCCTACATCCGTTCATTCTCCATATTTCATCAGTCTTCATCCTTGGCTGTAATGAAGTGTATAATACTAATATTTTGAGTTCTGTACAGGGTGTTCCTAAAAGAATGGTGGGGTTTTAGATATGTATATATTTTGTATTTCTTACCGTGTACAATCATAACATGTGTCAATCGGAAGCTTAACTGTCCAAATTTTATGTACATCCATCAAAGTGCCTCTATGTGCACACCTTTCGTTCCCCGGCTCACATCAATGCGATAGTCGAATTCCTGCCACGCCCACTGCAGCATTTCAGGTGTGATGGTCTCCACAGCACGATTGATTCTGTTTGGGAGATCCCGGAGCGATTGGGGCAATGGGGGTACATAAACCATGTCCTTCACGTACCCCCACAAGAAGAAATCACATGGAGTTATGTCCGGGGATTGGGGTGGCCACCGGAGAAGGGGGCATCTTCACCTACAACACGTCCAATCCATCGTTGCGGAAGGACCCAATTAAGCAAACCTCTCACAATGCTATGGAAATGTGGGGGAGCACCGTCCTGTTGGAAAATGTAGTCATTGGAATCATTGGCCACTTGTAATGATTTTCTTGGGCTTCTCTGATACATCTCCCACACTCTTTCCACGTCTGCATGTGGCACACGTGGCTGCCCAGAACTCTTGCCTTTACAGAGACATCCACTGTCCACAAACTGCTGGTACCATCTGTGAATGTTATTTTCATGTGGCGCCTGCTTCTGAATACGTACACGAAATTCACGGCGCACTGTAACGATGGTTTTAGACACCTCAAATCTCAGCACACAATAGGCATTCTCCTGCTGGGTCGCCATCTTACATTTCACGCCTCCTAACTGTCGGAAATGGAACTAGGAAAGAGCGTGATATACAAAATGAAAATTTGAGAGCCGCGTTATGAGTCTGTATACGTTTTCCTTTTCATCGCCAAAAACTGACGGAGATGTACGGCAATGAAACCCCACCAGTCTTTTAGGAACACCCGGTATTTGGTGCCCTTGCTATAATCCATACCATTCAGTGCTAATTGTCCCTTAATTGTTACATTTCCTCTCATTTTCTAATCTTCCTCTACTCTTCAAAATTGCATCTAAATATTTCATTTTATTTGTAGTCTCCGAGTCCAATCGCCATTTTTCATTCATTCTTAATTTTACTGTTATTTTTATATTTTCTACATTTATCTTCCACTTCCATTCTTTGAAAAATCTCTCTATACAGGTAATTGTTCTTCGCAAGTATGTATTAGCTATAGTGCCAGATCATCTGCAAAGAGCAGTAATTCTGATGCCTGCTTCTTTAGCATTACTAGAATACTTTCTGAATACATTTGCAGTCGCTATGTTGAATAAGGCCAGAGATAGTGAGCAGCTCTGTCTCAAGCCAATATTTGAGTCAGACCCCTCTAATATGTAATTACCTCTCCACTTCACTCTCATTTTAGTATCCACATACATTTCCTTTGTTCCTTCAGTTAATTTAGTTAATCCCCCCCTCCCCAATGTTTCCACAATAAAGCCTCCACCATAGCTCAACTGGTCAGTTGCTGGCTTTCCACCGCGGCGGCCCGGGTGTGGTCAGGTGGGTTTTGTAGTGGACAAAGTGGCGCTGGGGCAGGTTTTCTCTGAGTACTTCAGTTCCCCTGCCAATCTTCATTCTACCAAATTCTCCATCATCACCTGGGCAAGCTACAATAGGCCAATCATTGTCTGTCGTGCCAAGTGGACCCAGTTGGACTCCACCCCCCACTAAGCAAAGAAAGAAAAACAGTATGGTAAAATACCCAGAATTTTGTTCTGAATAACTCTTGTAAAGTGGTCATTTATGAGGTAGAGGAGATTGTGAATAACTCTTGTAAAGTGGTCATTTATGAGGTAGAGGAGATTGATGGTATTTGATGGTTGTTGTATAGTATGCATACTAGAGCAGTAGAGGTGCATAGTAGTAGAATTAATGTTGGAAAAATATTGTACCAACAGAAAAATTACTCAGTTCTGACAAGTATCAAAATCATTTTTTTTTCACATGAATTTTTGTTTTCTTGCAATATGGTGCTTAAATAATTTCAGTCCACTTCGATGTTTTTTCTTACGTATACAAGACAATTGTTGGACAGTGATAAAACAGAAATATCAGATAAATGAAATCTAGTATGTTTTTCTTCACTTGGCCTATTTTATACACATGCAAGACAGTTCTTGAAACTTTATGCTGTATAATGAGATTCTTGATGCAGATGTGCACAACATTTTGAGGGACTGACATTATGACATTTATGTAAATGCCTCACTGTGAACATACAGCTCACTGCTGTGCTTGTTTTGCTGTTTCACTATGATGAATATAATTTGGAAATAAATTGGCAGGATGATTAGTGAATATAATTTCCTCAAGATTGTTTTGAATAGTGGGCTCTGGTAATTATGATGTTGGATCATTGGTTTTGTGACCACAGAGTAATTATGTCAACCCTCATACCATTTTGTTCTAGTACTTGGTCTGCCCATGTTTAATTCAAATTCTATCATAAATATGAACACAGGAGTTAACCATCTGCCTGCTAGTTCTGCCCAGTCCCGCTTCCTCATGTGATCCAGTAGAAAATGTAGCTGATGAGCAGTGACTTAAAGCTAGGACCTCTTGACTGCAAAAGAGAGTTCTTATAGAAAGCCAGTGGTACAGGATGTAAGGTTTGTAAAAATAGTAGCAACATTCCCTCAGCATGGGAAACCTGATATACACATGTATGTAATTTAATATGGAAACTGTTAAGATGCAGTGGCTCCATCTTTAAAGTTACTGCTGCTGTTTGAAACATACTTACTTACTCATGGAGCTGAGCCCTTCTGGAGGACCCGCCAATTCTGCAGCTACTCAAGCATTTCCCAACATTTTATGGAACTTGAAGGTTCATTACCATGTTCACAAGAGCTCTGCACTGGTCCCTATCCTGAGCCAGATCAGTGCAATCCATACCATCCCATCCTGTCTCTCTAAGATCCATTTTAATATTGTCCACTCACGTACGCCTTGGTCTGCCCAGTGGTCTCTTCCTTCTGGCTTTCCCACCGATATCCTATATATTCCTCGTCTTCCCCATTCATGTTACATGCCTTGCTCACCTCATCCTCCTTGACTTGATCATTCTGATTATGCTTGGAGAAGAATACAAGTTACGAAGATCATCATTATGCTGTTTGAAACTAGTGTAATAAAATAGAAATATTTGTGCTAATTGTGTAATAAATTTACCAGACAATTCTTTTTACAAATTCCAAGGCTCGGGATTTGGAGCGTGGTGTAGAAATTGTTATTGCTACTCCGGGTCGCCTGATTGACTTCCTGGAGAGAGGAACTACTAACCTGAAACGCTGTACTTACCTTGTCCTGGATGAGGCAGACAGGATGCTTGACATGGGATTTGAACCACAGATACGCAAGATCATTGAACAGATTCGGGTGAGTTAGTGAAAATAATGTGAGAATGTCTTCTAAAACTCCCTGGCATTGATTAAGCTTAGTACTGGGCATACTGACAGTATATTTGCAGTTTTCTTAGTCCCAGGCTAACGGCGGTGGTGTACTTTAAAACAGATGAGCACCAATATCCTTCCTGATTCATTATCCATAATCTTTTACCATTTGACACTGTGTAATAATTGAGCTTCCTTACCTAAACCATGATTCAGTGGACATTGTCTAGGTTTTCTGTCATCTGATAAATAAGCATTTATGACTTACATAGCTGTTACAGTAGCTTAAGTTACTTGAGCCCATGCTGTGGCTGAGGAGGTTAATTACTGGCTTTGCACTGTCATGGGTTCAGTTCTAGGTCAGGTTTTATGAGAATTTTGGTTTACAGAGCAGCACTGTCGTGGATTTTCTTTTGAGTGCTTCAGTTTCTCCTACCAGTTCTCATTCCATCAACTGCGTCACATTCGTTAATGGTATCATTGGTACTAGTCGTGATACTGACAGTCTTTTTAAATGATCAACAGACAAGGTTACCTCAACTGGTAGGACCAAATAGGTTGGTATAGTGGTAGTACTGTAGACTTATTGGGAGATCATTATCTTTATTATTAAAATACACGTTAATAATAACAGTATAAAAGACATCAAGAATATGTCACTGACTAAAAATGTATTTTAATACTTTATGATGTTAAAATTGATATTTCATATATGAAAAATGTTTATACTAGTCATACTAGTACACATAGCCACAAATGAGTGCAGCGACCAGTCGTGAGATTGAACTAAACATTGATGTGCATGAAAGGAGCACGGTGAACAAGTGCAGTGCAGTGCAGTGGTCTCCCCAAAAAGAAAAATCACCTGATGATGGACCATGTGAGGCCAAAGCATGTTGTAAAACTAGAGACATTAAAAAATTTTGATAATCACTTTCAATGTATAAAATATACTTTTAGTGTACTATTGACATCTTAATGACTTTTAACACCATAAAGTATTAAAATACATTTTTAGTGAGTGACATATGCTTGATGTCTTTTATATTGTTACATTATTGATGTGTACTTTAATAAAGATAATACCTCAATGCAACGGGATGCTAAAATGTATTATTATTGGAAGATATCTGGATGTCTGACTTGAATCTTGGCTTGGTTACAGCTACATCTGAGATATTTTGTTATTTTCCCCAGTCCTTGCCACTGAATATGATGATAGCACCTTTAATAGACTTTCACCACCACCTTCCAGCCTTTGCATACTTAACATTCATAATCTTTCCATCTCATTAGGCTCTGTTTGAAAAATGTCATTAAATTGTCTGAGAATCAATCTGAATGGTCATTGATGCATGGCACTTAGTTGAAAGATATTTAAAAACTTGATCATCTTAAAATTTGATAACAGTTACCCCAGTCCATAAGGAAAATTGTTCTAATGAGGTAAGTTAAGCTTTCATTCATCTGTGTGATGTTTCTCATTTAAGTTAGGCGTAAATTCTGTATGTTACAAGGTCAGATTCCCATTATATATTTAGTGTGCATTTGAATTTTGGGTTAAACTGTTTTCAGCCTGATCGACAAGTTTTGATGTGGTCTGCAACATGGCCCAAGGAAGTTCAGACTTTAGCTGAGGATTTCTTGAATGACTATATCCAGGTGAATATTGGGTCACTGCAACTTGCTGCCAATCACAACATAATGCAGATTGTGGAGGTGTGTCAAGAGCAGGAGAAGGAGATGAAGTAAGCTTACCAACCAAGCTCTGAGCATTTTGTTGGTCAGTTACTCTTGCATTAATGAGAAAATATTTTAACCTAGAATGGGTGAAGTCAGTGGATACTTTAGGATATTGCATGTGGATGAATTTTCTGATTTAAATACCACCTGTAATTGTTTGTGTGTTAAAGTCTTAAGCCTGTGATGGGTTAGGCATAGGCATATAGCTGGAATGGGAGAAATAGAGAATTAGTACAAAATATTGATGAAGGGGAGTTTATTGGAAATGGATACACAGAAGATTGGAAAGGAGATGGCATTCATTGGCAAGGTTTATATATATATTTCACAAGTTCAAAATACAATGGACATGAAACTGGTCAGAAGCATAACCCAAACAAACAAACAAAGCAGAAAGACAATACAAAGTTAAACACTGTAACTGTTTACTGTACGTTCCAGTACTGGTATTAGGGTTTGCTGTTCTGTGCTTATGATATTGTGTCAATGTATGTTTGCTACCCCTCCTAAACTTCAGGACCAGGTGACAGGTTTTCATGAAACTTGATTCATTTAAAGACCAGAGACTCTTGGCTACATTTAATGCCTTATCTGCAATACTAAGTCTGCTATGTAGTCTTGTCCAGTAGGTGTGACATTAGAGCCACTTGACATAGGATCCCGAAATTCCATGTAATAGTCGAAGTATAGGCATCTTTTATCATGGTGAAATGTAAAATATGACATCTGGGTGAGGTATGCACTTATATATGACTTTAATAACAGCAGGTAATGAATTATTGCAGCTGTGCATGGGAGAATAGATGGAACTTGTTAATAAAAATGCCTATAAATTCTTTGTCGAACTTGGCACTGAGGTAGTCTCCTATGGCACAATGTTCATAACCAAGTTTTGCAAAAATTGGACAAATGTTCAGAAGTTGAAAGGTGTCAGATGTAGACATACATTTCTGAACACTTGACAAATTGTCATAAAACTTGGTATAAACATTATGCAATTGGAGGCTACCTCAGTGCTGTTCTTTTCAATTTTTTATTCAATAATAACGTGGCAAACTTGTGAACTTGTTATGTGGGATCGACACTAGTGCCACATATATGGAGTCCTGGTATAGTCCTTAATGAACTTTCAAAAAGTTTGCTAACTTTTATTATATATATCTGTAGAATGTAAAATAATATGGTGGCCATTCAAGAATTGTCGTTAGCATTCATTATGACTGCAGTAATTAATGAACAACTAGACATTTAAAATTTGGTATGGAGATAGATCGTAATCCTACTTACACATTATACATGAAAAGTTTTAAGCCTGCATTTACAAAGGTGGATATCCATAACTTAGGATCTGTATTTGACGCGTTCACTGCTAAACTTTGTGCAGTACTGTGTAATATAGAACCTGAAAAAATAATGCAGTTTATTACAAAACTCATTACAGCTTCCAAAGTTGTTGTGGTCCCAGATTTATTCTTTTACACATTTTTAGACGTGTATCTGGCTGATACTTATAACAAATTTCAGACAAATCGCAGATGCTTTTTTGCCGTTAATTTCCATAGTTCATAACATTGGACCACCTACAGCTCTGAAGGTTTAAAAGTTGAGGTATATTTATACATTGTTGGAAAGAAAATTTCTTTAGGTTTTAATAAAGAAAAACCTCATGTCTTTTTTACCCCAGTGAAGGTTATTTTTTAACATTCAGTATTTCGAAAACCTTTTGACAGAAATTATAAAAAAGAAAATCTGAGGTGTTTGGCAATGGGAGTGATATGTGTATAAAATTTCATCACTATCAGAGATGGCAGGGTATAAATTTTACTTTCAGCTGTGTTGGTTTTCCATGCAGTGACCCATTTCACAATCATACATTTTTGTTAGTAGTCTTTGATGGGAGGGTACTGTATTTATCAGCCTTCAGGGTGCAGGGGAACAGCATGCAGAGCGCACACAAATCTTGTTTCTCTGTTCTTGCTTTTTCTGATACATTAGAATGTCTTGTCAGGTACTTATCACCTTTGCTAGAGAGAAAGTGGTGAATTTGTGGTTTCTCTATTATCCTGTTGAGGCAGTCTTCTGGGTGAGCTTAAAATCCCTTTGTGGTTAATTCAGAGTATTCCTGAAGGATGTGAAATTGCCTCAAAATCAAAATGGATTATTGTCTCATCAGAGTCAATTTGGTCCTCCCATGTTCGTGGTTGGGAAATGTACTCTCGCCTCTTGACCTTGTGTGTTGCATACTGTTCTAGTCATTGATGTGGTAAATACGAGGTGTGTTCAAAAAATGACGGGAATTTCCGTATTTTGGAAAAAATATTTATTCATTCGTCTACATTAATGTTGTCGCCTTCAAAATAGTCCCCATTCGATATTATGCACTTACGCCAGCGCTTCTTCCAATCATCGAAACACTTCTCAAACTCGATTTTTGGGATAGCCTTTAGCTCTTTCAGCGATGCGCTTTTAATGTCATCTATGCTTGTAAAACGACGGCCCTTTAAGGTTCTCTTTATTTTTGGAAATAGGAAAAAGTCACACGGAGCCATGTCTGGCGAATATGGAGGCTGGGGCATCGTTACAGTATTGTTTTTGGCCAAGAATTCACGAACAAGCAACGAAGTGTGAGCAGGTGCATTATCGTGGTGCAAAAGCCATGAATTGTTTTTCCACAAATCCGGGCGTTTTTTTCGGATTGCCTCACGCAAACGGCGTTGAACTTTCAGGTAGTACTCCTTATTGACCGTTTGACCTTGAGGCAAGAATTCATGATGCACTATGCCATTAAAATTGAAGAACACAGTAAGCATAACCTTCACGTTCGAACGCACTTGTCGAGCCTTTTTCGGTCTTGGCGATCCAGGATGCTTCCACTGAGACGATTGAGCCTTAGTTTCAACGTCATATCCGTAAACCCATGTTTCGTCACCTGTTATAACACGTTTCAGTAATTCTGCATCATCGTTGACTTCCTTTAGTGATTCCTGAGCAACTTCCATTCGCCGCTGTTTTTGTTCAAAATTCAGCAATTTTGGAACAAATTTTGCTGCCACGCGTTTCATACCCAAAACATTCGAAAAAATTTCATGGCATGAGCCAATCGATATGCCAACATCATCAGCGACTTCTCTGATTGTGATTCGGCGATCATTCATAATCATTGCTTTCACTTTTTCCACGTTTTCATCGGTTGTTGATGTGCTGGGGCGTCCGGGGCGCTCGTCATCTGCAACGTCTTCACGGCCATCTTGGAAACGCTTATACCACTCGTAAACTCTTGTTTTACTCATAACAGACTCACCATAGGCCTTTGTTAACATTTCACACACTTTGTAACACTTTATTTCATTTTTTACGCAAAATTTGATACAAATTCTTTGATCCATTTCTTTTAACAAACGAAAATCGCCAAGCTCATAAAAACACGTCTAACCTTAGCGGCTGCCACAGACAAAGTAAGCAATGAATACAGCTGAAAATTTTATTGTACTTCAGGGGCATGTATACCAACATAATAAAAAAAAAATTTTGACAATTGGACTCTCCAAACCCGCGAAATTTTAAAATTCCCGTTATTTCCTGAACACACTTCGTATGATTAGCATGTTATGGACTGCCACTGTTCCATGTTTTGTGCCTGGTTTTGGCAGCTGCAGTTTGCTGTTGCGCATATAGGTTGATTTGATTGATGATTTTCTGTATCATGTGATCAATGTTATAAAATTTTCAGGCTCTGTCAGGCTGTGGCTGTCTTATTGCAAATTGCACTGTAGGTTTAGCATAAGAAGTTAAGTGGAAGAATGATTATTGCTTTTAGAAAATCTTATCTGACCTGAATCATCGGATGATTCTGAAATGTTCATTTTTTCTGATGATCCTGATGGGCTTGAATTTGATGTAAACGTGATACCAGAATTTTGGGCATTCACAGCTTCTTCAGTTTTCTCTTCTGTTTGTGCTTCTAAAATCTTTTCACTGTTGTTACTACAATTGTGAAATGCACAATACAGAGGCAATACATTGTACCAGAGATGAGCTGAAATCTCGTGCAACTGTCATATCTCACAACTGACAGTTAATTTGGAGCCAGTCTGCCCACTGTTTTCTGTGTGCCCTCAAGTATAGCTCAGTCATATTCTGTTGACATTTCCCAGCCACATTCTGCCTATAATTTGCTGCACATGTATACATGTGAGAATAAATCAACTTGTATTGAGCTTGAGTAATAGACATCTCACAGAGCAGTTTAAGGTTTGCTGATATGTACACTGCATTACATTTTGTTATAAATGCCATGATGAGGATATGACCTTTTGACATGAGTGATGGTTTTGGATCAGCAATTATACTTAACTGTAAAGTGTGTGTTGTAGTTGCATGTAGAGTGTATGTAAGAAGCAAAACTGCAAACAGAGTTGTATAAAACATTAAAGGAAACAGTGGCAGCTAGTTGTGAAATCACTTGTTAATGGTGAACATGCCTGGTAAAACTCCTGGATTTGTTTTCCATATGTATAATTGACAGTTCAATTGTTTTTGTTACTATAATGAAGCCCTTGATATAAGCCTTACTCATTCTGCCAGGGTTTCACTGTAGCTCTGTGGGGACTACAAGGAAGTGGATTTATGAATCAGCTTCGGAACCTTTGTTTGTTCTTTTACATTACTATTGTGGGAGTGTAGAACTTTGAGATTGTATCAAATAACTGTTAGGCAGTGGAAATTATGGACAATAATAATGTTCATTTGTGATTCGTTATCCTCTGTTTTTAAGTGGAAGGCAGATAGGTTTTACTTCTGCACTCTTTTAAGGGTTGAAGTCCTCTCTATCCCCCATAAAAATATTGATGGTTGACCGAAACTGGTTGTCATAAGATTGTGAAATTCTTAGATTGTGTTATGTTTTTATACTTAGGTTATCAAAACTGCTGCGAGAAATTGGAGTGGAAAGGGGAAATAAAATGATAATCTTTGTTGAAACTAAGAAGAAGGTCGATGACATTACGAAAGCCATTCGACGAGAAGGGTAAGTGTTCTCTTAGAGTAAGTTTCCAGAGAATTTTTTTCAGGCACTTGTAACTTAAGATGTTTATTTTAGTCAGGACAGGCTGAAGAGTTACATCTTCTGGGATTTAATGCTGTGTTGTCCTCAAAAATCAGCCAACATTTACAGGGTCTTATCACCTTCATCTTCAGAGAATAAGCCAAGCAAGAAACCAGCATGATGAAGTGGCCCATTTGTGGAAATCTTGGGTTTGTAAGGGAAACAGGAAGGAACTGCTAGACAGCTGATCAGTTCCTATTGGCTCTCTCAGAGAACAGTTAGCAGTAGATAAGTAACAGCAGCGCTGAATAGGGCCAGTTATGTAGATCTGGGAACATGGGGAAAATGAACCATAAGGGTGTGGTAGACAGAATGGAGGAGGATGGGAGAGAAGTTATATGTATGGGTCACGGACATGTGGAGTATAAAGAGAGCAAAAACATGTGAGGGAGTCCGGGAAAGAAAGGAAAGGCATAGGGCTAATGTATGCCTGGAGAGGGCAGAGTTGGAGCCCTGTTAAGGAGGTGGTGTGTGTGAACCTCTGCCCACCACACCCTCATGACTCTCTTCCTGTGTTCCCAGGTCTGCACAACAGGCTCTTTTCATAGCTGACTAGTTACTTCCTTATTTCCTGTTGGTTCACTATGTTCTCTGAGAGAGCCAATGGGAACTGATGAGTTCTGCAGTTCCCTCCAGTTTCCCATATAAACTCGAGCGCTTCATAAGTGCAAGCTCTGCTTGCTACCTGCTTCATGCTGGTTTCATTTTGGCTTATGCTTGCTACCTGCTTCATGGTGGTTTCATTTTGGCTTATTCTTCAGTCCTGAAGATGGAGACAACATGTACCTTGTGTCAGTTAACTGTCAACAGGCTGCATGGTATCATATGCCAAAAGATAACAGTTCAAAACCACCACTATGAGAACCTCATCCTGCAAGATTTAACCTACATCACATTATTGTGTAGGTATATTTGCTGTAAACACCTGACAGTATGGTGCATGTCCACCACAGTGTTCTAGAAAGTCATATTAAGCCTGCAAGACAAATTAGAAGATCCAGATACAGGCAGGATTGGATAGGCCTGCAGCTAGATTAAGCAGTGTACAAACATCACAAGAACTGGAAGGGCAAGGCTGCTTCAGATAACAGTAAGAGTGTCACAGCATGTAGACATGACAGCAGCATATGGGACACTGGTCCATCGTGCCACGTTAAGCAGCAAGCAGATCGAATGTGCTGAGGTGGATTTATGCTTAATTCTTTCCATTGTCCTTTATACATCATTGATTATTCTTGAATAATTGGCATCAGTGATGTATACAGGTGTCCCAGAAATAAATACAAAAAATGGAGAATGCTATGGCCCAAAACGATGAACGTCGTTTATATAGACATGGGTGTGGAAATGGTTTGGTAATGAGCTATTCAGTAGTGGTACCTCAGTATGCTGCGATCTTTTGAAGGCAATTGGAATTAAGGGTGGACATTGTGAATGACCACTTGTGTATTATCACTTCCATCTACCCCATTCAACAATGAAACAGTTATCATAGTGTTGTCTGGAACAGTAAAATAGGAAAACTTCAGTTGCAAAGGAGCTTAAAGGCAAGTAGGGCAGTACACCTTTGGTTATATATTTGTCAGATAAATGTTATCCCATGTTAGGCGGGTCCCTTATGTGCGGAGCAGGTTCCCTCATGGCAGAGGCGGAAGAAATCTCAAAATATAAGTTAGATTTAGTGGGAGTACAGGAGGTCAGATGGGATGGAGGTGGCATCGCACCAGCAGGCGACTATACATTTTTCTATGGAAAAATGAATGAAAATCATGAATTAGATACAGGTTTTATTGTGCATAAGAGAATCGTGTCAGCAGTTAAGAGGGTAGAGTTTGTTAGTGATAGGTTGTCATATATAATACTAAGATGGTATGATATTCTGAATATTCATGCCCCAACGGAAGATAAAATTGAAGATATAAAGGACATTTTCCATGAAGAACTAGAACTTGTATTTTATAAGTTCCCGAAGTATCATGTGAAAATTTTCTTAGGAGACTTCAGTGCCAAAGTAGGTAGGGAAGACATTTTCAGACAAACAATTGGGAATGAGAGTTTGCATGAATTGGTAATGATAATGGAGTTGGAGTAGTAAACTTGGCCACATCAGGAAATCTTACTGTCAAAAGTACAATGTTCCCACATCGTAACATCCATAAATTTACTTGGACATCTCCTGATGGGAAGACACACAATCAAATTGACCATATTTTGATTGATAGGAGATGTCATTCAAGTATACTTGATGTCCAGTCATTCAGGGCAGCAGATTGTGATACTGAACACTACCTGGTGGTAGCAAAGGTTGGGGAAAGTGTGGCAGTGAGCAAACAAACAATGCACAGAGTTCATACGAAGAGGTTCAATCTTAAGAAATTAAATGAGGTAGAGGGTAAAGAGCAGTATCATGTTGAAATGGCAAGTATGTTCGTGGTTTTGGAAAATTTAGACTCTGAGGTGGCTGTTAATACAACTTGAGAAACTATTAGGGAGAATATAAAAATTTCTGCCAAGGAGAATCTAGGTTATTATGAACTGAAGAAGCATAAGCCATGGTTCGATGAAGGATGCTCAAAAATATTAGACCAAAGGAAACAGGCCAAATTGCAGTGGTTACAGGATCCAAGTGAAATGAATGGGGATAATCTGAACCATATTAGACATGAAACCAGCAGGCATTTTGGGAACAAAAAGAGGGAATGTCTGAAAGAGAAGATTGATGAGATTGCAGTGAACAGTAAGAACAAGAACTATTTTGAATCGGTGGAAGAACCACTACTCTCAGCTATTGAATGTACGTAGGGTCAGGGATGTTAGGCAGTTAGAAATACATACAACTGAGCCGTTAGTACCTGATCCCAGCCCCTTTGAGGTTGAAACTGCAATTGCAAAATTGATAAGGTATAAATCTCCAGATAGTGATCAGATTTGAGCAGAACTTGTTCAAGCAGGAGGCAAATATTACATTCTAAGATCCATAAGCTAATTACTTATATCTGGCATAAGGAAAAATTGCGTGATCAGTGGAAGGAGTCTGTTGTACCAGTTCACAAGAAGGGTGATAAAACTGACTAGTCATTATTGTGGGATATCACTGCTGTCAACTTCATTCAAAATTTTATTCAGTATTCTTCTCTCCATACATAGATGAAATTATTGTGGATTATCAGTGTGGGTTTCGACATAACAGATCAACTATGAATCAGATCTTTTGCATTCGTCAGATATTGGAGAAGAAATGGGAGTACAATGAGACAGTACATCAGCTATTCATAGACTTCAAGAAAGCCTGTGCTTCAGTTAGGAGGGAAGTATTGTACAATATTCTGATAGAGTTTGGGATATCCATGAAACTAGGTAGGTTGATTAAAATGTGTTTAAACAAAACATATAGTAAAGTCCATTTGGGTAAATATTTGTCATAATTTTTCTATTAAGACTGGTCTAAAACAAGGAGATGCTCTATGGCCACTACTTTTCAACTTTGATTAGAATATGCCATTAGAAAGGTCAAAGAAAACCAGGTGGGACAAAAATTAAATGGGACACATCAGCTGTTGGTCTGTGCTGACAATGTGAATCTACTGAGTGATAATATTTTTTTCTTCTATTAATGGGACAAAGTCCCTTGTACTGCGGCCACTTCTGGCCTATTGTACCAGCCCCAGATGATAGGTGAGGGTGATTGTGGAGCAATTGGTGGAATGGAAATTGGCAGGGGGACCCGAAGTACTTCAACAAAACCTGCCCCAGCGCCACTTTATCCACCACAAATCCCACTTGACCAGACCCAGGATCAAACCTGGGCCGCCGTGGTGGGAAGCCAGCGACTAACCACTTGAGCTATGGTGTGGCCTGGGTGATAATCTAGATACCATAAAGAGAAACACACCAAGTTTAATTGATCCTAGTAAGGTGGTTGGTCTAGAAGTAAACACAGAGAATACTATATATTGCTATCTCGTCACCAAAATGCATGACCATATCAGGACATAAAGATAGGTAACAGATGTTTTGAAAACGTGGCACAGTCCAGATATTTGGGAACGACTATAACAAATCAAAACCTGATTCAGGAAGAAATTAAGAGGAGATTGAACTTTGGTAATGCTTGCTACCATTCAGTCCAGAGTTTTTTGTCTACTTGTCTGCTGTCTAAAATCATAAAATTAGAATAAACAAAACTATAATTTTACCTGTGGTTCTGTATGGGTGTGAACCTTGGTCTCTGACATTAAGGGAGGAACACAGACTGAGGGTGTTTGAGAACAGGGTGTTGAGGAGAATATTTGGACCGAAGACAGCTGAAGTGACAGGAGGTTGGAGAAAGCTGCATAATGAGGACCTTTCATAACTTGTACGCTTCTCCGAGTATAATTAGAATAATCAAGTCAAAGTGGATGAGATGGGCAGGGCCTGTACCGCGAATGGGGGAGAGGAGAAATGCATGTAGGATATTGGTGGGAAAGCCAGAAGGAAAGAGACCACTGGGAAGACCAAGGTATAGGTGGGTGGACAATATTAAAATGGATCTCGTGGAGATGGGATACTATGGATTGGATTGATCTGGCCCCATATAAGGACTGCTGAAGGGCTCTTGTGAACACAGTAATGAACCTTCGTGTTCAATAAAATGCTGGGAAGTTCTTGAGTAGCTGCACAATTTTCAGCTTGAATGGCTCAGCTCCGTGAGTGGGTGAGTATGAGAGTGATAAATGTTATCAGTAGTTAGTTAGTGAGTTATGTGGAGGGGGTGGGTTTCCCCATGCACTTAGACCAGGCATTGGTCCATTGTGCGTCCCCCTTTGATATTCTACCAGTATGTATACCCTACCGGTACTGGTGCATGCCATCAGTCCCGACTCAGCCAGCAAGTTCGGCCTCTACTGGCTCAGCGGTACCTAGATGCTTCCCCCATCTACCAGAGGCGTTAGAGACTGCAGTTGGGCGGGAAATGTCCTGAATTTGGCTCATAGGTCTCCTTGAGACATGAGGTTCTTTTACGTGCCATAAAGCTACGACACGGGACCCACGGCTTAAAGTCCCTCCCGGAGGACTTGTTCCCTGAATTTTTCTGCCCTTAAAAATTCCACGATCTCCGCCAGGTTTGAACCCGCGTACCTTGAGTCATGAGGTGGGAATGTTACCCCTAGACTACAGAGGCTACTATGTTATCAGTAACTTAGGGTTCAGGTAACAGTTAGGGTTGCAGTGGGTGCTCAAAATGTTGACCTTACACTGCCACACAAGCTTTGGCCCAATGTGTAGATTGATGGATGACCTGAAAAATTCCAGGAATGTTGTGGACCAAGGTAAGACCATTTTGAACGCACTGCAATGTCCACTGCTGAAATGTACACCAAATTCTTTTGATGTCCTCAAAAGAAAAAGCAAGAGGATTCAGGTCTGGAGGATGACTTGGACAGGATGTTAGTCCCTCACGGCCTTCCTCTCTGATGTCCAGTGTAGGCAGTCTCAAGTTGATTTCTGGGAGCATAATTGAAATGGGCTGGGGCACCATACTGTGTAAACCATGTGCTTCATCATATATCCAGTGGAACAGTGTCCAGTAACTTTGGCAAAGTATGTTCCAAAAGTCTGTAGTCAGTGCTGTTGAGGCTGCGGAACCATCCTCAGTGGTACCAGTCCAGATGTTGAGAAATGCTGTTGATGTCTGACTTGTGTATGTTTTTTTACATCACTTGAAATGTGCCTGTAATTTAAATTTAGTGTGCTGTTCCTTGTGCAGTCTGCTTTGTAGGTAGGGTTATTTACCACACTGTTGAAGGAACCACTGGCAGAATCTTGGTGTGGATGAAAATCAAGCAGACTAGACCTTGTACCAGTTTCAGATGGTACAGATACAGCAGCTGGTCATGGAAAATCTGCCACATAGTCGTGTGTACTGTATGTCTCAGCAGTTTATATGTATGATTGCTGGTACGGGATTCTCCTCTTTGCATCTGAGAATGCTCTCTTCCGTATCAGCTGTTTGTGAACTTCCATCTTCATTACAATACAGTGAACAATACCAGTCTCACTGATGAACAGTGGTGTGAAGGGTGTGGAAGGCTGTGTTAAGGATACCTCTCTGCATACAGATTAAAGCTGCTACACCATTGCCACAGGCTTTGCCAAGAATTAAATGCATATCATTCTCAGAATGTGTTTTAGTCCATTTTAAGCACAGGCTTAACAAAGCAATTTTGACACTGAAAGAACAGCATTTGAATGTATGTACAGTAAATGTCTGATGTCAACTCACTATCACTATAAATATGATAGGGGACCTCAGTACTTGTGTTAAAAGTGAATTTGACATTTATATAATTTTTGATAAGCCGTGATATATTTTGGAGGGTAAAAAGAGAGAAGAAAGATATAAGCATTGTCAATGTCAAGTTCATCATGCTTTTTCCTGATATAATGTATCCCTGAATCTTGTTAACATTGAGCGATATGAGCCAATGGATATTCCTGTCTCCTGCTGCTTTACATTCAGTAGATGATTTGTATGGATAATACCTTTCATTTGAAATCAAAGAATCGTTTCTGGAAGCTGAATGCTGGCCCAACCTCACTGTAATCTGCTGAAATTCTTCTGTTCTGGAAACATCTGAGTCGTTCACAATCTGTTTCACTCACACCCTCACCAGTGCTTCACAAAACATTCTGTGGGTGTCAGCAGTTGTTTTACTCAGTCTGCCACAAGTTTTCACACAAGTTCTTTGCTTCTTTACAGAAGCCACACCATAATTTGTCAAAACCAAAACCACATAATTATGCAAATGGTAATAATACTTCAAAATGTCACCTGAGCTGTTTGAATGAACTGCTATATACAGTATTTTAAATTGTTTCATTTTTGGTCCGTTACACTATCAATCACAAATTGTCAATGAAAATCCGTCGAGTGTAACAATGTTTTTAGGTCACTTATTTATCTCACTTCCCTTACATGTTTCGGTTCAAGAGAAACCATCATCAGAGGCACGTATTACAAACACTTGAAAACACTGGCGTTGTTTGATGTACACAGTATGTAAGCTGCGTGTACGCTGTTACAGGTGTCGAAGTGTAAAAGCACAACACTTTCTAGTAGCATTGAATGCACGTACTACTAACATTGACGGCTCAATTTGAGGGCAATTTTCAGATGGAATGCAAGAGTAGTACGTGCATTCAATGCTACTAGAAAGTGTTGTGCTTTTACACTTCGACACCTGTAACAGCGTACACGCAGCTTACATACTGTGGACATCAGACAACGACAGTGTTTTCAAGTGTTTGTAATACGTGCCTCTAATGATGGTTTCTCTTGAACCGAAACATGTAAGGCAAGTGAGATAAATAAGTGACCTAAAAACATTGTTACACTCGATGGATTTTCATTGACAATTTGCTATATACAGATTATGGTTGTAACTATCAGCCACTCCACATATCGACAGGCAACGATCATTCCAGAATTTTTCAGTCAATCATCTCAAAGACTCGAGCTGTCTGGAGAATAATAATCACTACAACAGTGATGTATGCACTATTACCTATTTTATATTGTATAATGTAGAGACCTGTTGCTAGGTAATGACTTGAAATAACGCCAGCTGCTAGGCAGTAGATTCTTAATAGGCAAATATACACAGCCGTTTATGAGTAACACCTTCACAAACAAACATGTTCCCATGGCAATGAATCCACGTGCAACAGTGGAGGAACTGTTAGGAATTGTGTTCTCTGTGTGGTCATTGCCAAGATGTTATAAGCAGGACAACTGGAGCAAGTAGTCAGTTGTGGAGTATTAGCCAGTGGCCAACAATTTGAGCACAGAAGCTGAAGAATCTCCATTCATTACTAGGAAATGACTAGTGAAAGCAGACTGAGAAGACTTAACGTGTGCTCTAGTGATTTGTAAGGTGTGCAGTTTAGGGATGGCACTGTAAATCCAGTTACAAATCCAAACCCCTGTAGTCACATGACAGCGTCTAGGATCTATAGTATTAAGTACTATTGTACAGTAAAGATTTAAAATATTGTTGAAAACAGTGTGTAATATTGCTATCTGAAGTGAGGGTTTTTGTTTTTCAGCTGGCCTGCTATCAGTATTCATGGTGACAAGTCGCAGCCAGAGAGAGATTATGTCTTAACTGAGTTCCGCAATGGAAAGTCACCAATTTTGGTTGCAACAGATGTGGCTGCTCGTGGGCTGGGTAAGTACAAGATGCATTGAACTGTAGCTGGAACCATATTGTTTGCATGAGCCCCTGCTGGAAATTGAAAAAATTCTGGTCTTTGTCTATTATACCATCCAGTAAAACTCAGTCTGTCATCACTTCTGAGGTTATGTTTTAGATAGGAGGTAATGTTTCATTGTGCATCAGGCTGCTGCGTGCTGAAGATCATTTATTGTTACAGATGTCGAAGATGTGAAGTATGTCATAAATTTTGATTATCCCAACACATCAGAAGATTACATACATCGCATTGGGCGCACAGGGCGCTGCAACTTGAGTGGTACTGCATATGCATTTTTCACTCCGAACAATGCACGCCAAGCAAAGGAACTAATAGCTGTCTTGGAAGAGGCGAACCAAACCATCAACCCAAAGTTGGCTGAATTAGCTAACATTGCGAGGTCCACTTTTGGAGGTAAAGGTAGTTGCACGCAATTTTATTACTGTGTTTGGTACAGTGTATATTTAGCTTAGTCTACATTATAGTTAATTGACAAACCATATAGTCAACCTTCATGAATCAGTCTCAGTGATGTTCATTTGGGACTATTCTGTCCTCTTGTTAAGGGAGTTCACAGTGTGAATGAAGGATGTAGGTGTCCTTAGTGTGAAGGCTTTTGTGCAACTTCTCTGTTGTGCATAGTATGATAATATTGCATTGTTACCAGGTCGGAACCGCTGGAACAACCGTAACAAGGAGAATGGTAACTCTGTGTCAAACCAGAATGCTGTACGCAACACTGGATCTATTTGGAGCCATGAACGTTCTCAGAATTCCAGCACTCAGGAATACCGTCAGTCAGGATCATCCAGGTTTTTGAGTGGCAATAGCAGCAGTACAAGGAATGGATCTGATAGCTACAGGAGTAATGGGTACAGCCCGCAACAGAATGGATATGGCCAGCAGAACAGTTACTCACAGCAGAATGGATTTAACCAGCAGAATGGATATGGACAACAGAATGGTTACAGTCAACAGAATGGTTACAGTCAACAGAATGGATGTTCAGGTGCACGCTCATATGGTGGCCAGGGTCCACGAGGAGGATATCAGGGCCAAAGGTTCAGTAATCGTACTCAAAATTATAATGGAGCCCAGGCATCAGCCTCCTCACCTCACCAAGGGATGTACACAGTGCCTCCCCCTTTCATGCTGCCCAGTAGCACTGATGCCAATATGCAGAGCATTCTGAGCAACAAGTTCTTCCAGTCAACACGCCCACCTCCCCAGGCTAATGCCTGTGCCTACCAGAGCATGGCTGCAAATGCATTCAGTCAGTATCAACCCATGCCGTATGCATACAGCTATGGGCAACCAGCTGCTGTACAACAATAAGCCCCTAACCCATCTACCTAGGGTGATCTTGCTTGGTTTATATTCATTATTCGCTGTTTGAGGTGCATAAATAACTTTTTTGTTTTGTTTAATATCTTTCACTGTAGCAAGGATTCCAGTTATCTTAAATATTTAATCTTAATATTATTGGTGTGTGGGAAATAAATTTCCTTTTTATTTCAGTATTTGCTGTTTTGAGAAAATTGAATGGTCACATTCCACTTCATTTTGTTTTCTGTCACTGTAACTGTAGCGTTCCATAATATTTCTGTATGCTGTGGAGATGCACGAAACATTCAGAAGGGGGGTGGGTTAGGGGAAAGTATTTCATTTTATGTAATAATAGGCCATGTCATGGTTCTGGCAAAGAGCACAGATAGTGTATAAACATTGTATATAAGAGTCTAAATATGGCAGATATTTATCTACGTTGTCAGATAGTGCGATGGATCTATGCAGTCCTTCGTAGTAAAGTTCTCTTGTATGCGTATCAGATCAAGTGCTCTGCGTTCTTTCCGGTGCCAATATCATTATTTATTATAACTTCCTGTCAAAGCATCTGAAATGATATGGATGAGTAACGATATTTATTTGCGGTAAGATGCCGTAAAACGTGTGTGTTGATGCTTTGTCTTTGTTGATTTTTGTGTTCTGACTTTTCAGTGAAAGGTTGGTTGTCAGATGTAAATGTTCCTTAACCCCCTCAAGATCTGTCCACCCTCAAGGGTCGTGTACATAGTAGTCTGAAGAGTTCAAATATTGTATAAATTATATGTAAGTTAAGCCACTGATTGTGGTTTATAACTCAATTACACTTTGTACTGTGATATGTAAGATGTAGCAGATAATTTTAAACTTAAGCTGCAAGTCCAAGAGAAAGGTCGGTTGAACCACACACAACAACGATGCACAGCAGTATTTTGATAAGGGAACATAATCTTTTTTAAGTGTAGTTCATATAGTATGTGATATTTTCCTCAAAGACTGATAATTCAGAAAGGGATATATTTTAAATCACTTCTATCTTAAGATTTTACAAAACTAATTAGTTGAAGCCCTAGATCTTCAACAAAGTGTTTTGTATGGACTTTTTTTTGTACCAAATTACATTGATGCCTTGTGATTTGTTTTACCTTGCTCATGTTATGATTTCTGTTACACAAGGTGGACCTAAACTAGGTAACAGCGTTAGTGAAGTATGAGAGAGAGTGAATGGTTCACAGTGAACTGGGGAAGTCTTTCTCCGCCAACCTTTCTCATTGGAAGACGAGCAAAATGTTTGAGAGAGTGCAGTCTGTTAGATTGTGCAAGTGTTTACATTTGTCTATACTCACTGTACTTTTGGATACCATGTTGTATGGGAAGCATGTAAAATCAGCAGTTGCTGCTGTTGGTTTTTTGACCATGACAGAGTAATGTATACATATTATAGTGCGACCCTTGTGCACGTGATAGATTAACCTTCCTGGGAGTTGAGGAAGTAGCCAACTCTTCTGTAGGTTTCCATATAAGTGCATTTCTTGTATGTAATACAGTATTATGATAGTAAAGTAATTAATTACAGTATGGTGTGTTTTGATTTGTATCCTTACTGTAAGAGGTTGACCTTAACCTTGCCTTGCTGTGCATTAGCATGCTCTGAAAAATAAGAGGACTGGCCCTAGTCCAGTGCAACTTGTAGACTGAAAAACCAGTCACATTGGAAATGCTTTCATTTTATTGTTATTTTTATTATATTTGTTTCTGTGAATGTTAGAGATTGTTAATCCTAATCTGTCTGCTCATAATAAATGTGTATGCATATAAAAATAATGGGCATTATTTTGTACATTTCAATAATTGTATTTATTTCTGAATGATTAAGCAATACTTAGAGTTCAGTATATTGTGACAGCTGCGTATTCTACACACCTAATGTTGATAAAACTGCCTATATAATAAAACTGGCATGCATAAGGCTCAAGTTTGGCATAATGTGACCTCACTCATGCCATCAATTTTTTATAGTTTGAAAGCTTAATTTTCATTTCATGTTATTTCAGTAACCCTGCTGTGTAACCCGATGCGGTACTGATCTACATAGCATAGATCACATGCCATGATAGTGTACTATCATTTGCCTTTATTGAAAATATGACCAATGTGCATTTTTTTAAACAAAGAAAAGTACATACAACTATTAAACTAAGGATAGATGGCAATCAGCACCTTAATTTGTTTCAAGTACATCCTGCTAAGTGTAATGAAGAGAGAATAATTAAATAAGTTTGTGGAGTTAGGCCCAGCTTGAGTAGCAGCCAATTGTACAGCTACACAAGAACTTCACCACATTTTATGGAACCCGAAAGTTCATTACTGTGTTTACAAGAGCCCTTCACTAGTCCCTATCCTGACCCAGATCAGTTCAACCCATACCACCTCACGCAATTATTCATTTAACATCATCCATCCACCTACATCTTGATCTTCCTAGTGGTCTCTTTCCTTCAGGCTTTCCCATCAATATCCTATATATATTCCTCTTCTCCCCCATATGTGCTACAAGCCCTGTCCATCTCATCCTCCTTGACTTGGTCACTAATTATACTTGGCAAAATGTAAAAGTTATGAAGCCCCTCATTGTTCAGTTTTCTCCAACCTCCAGTCACCCCATCCATCCTCAGTCCAATTATTTTCCTTAGCACCCTGTTCTGAAACACCCTCAATCTTTGTTCCTCCCTTAATGTCAGAGACCAAGTTTCACACCCATATAGAAACAGGCAAAATTATGTTACATTACATTGCATTCCCTGGATCTAAAGTTAGTCAGAATGACTAGGACGTGGAGTATGTCATATAAATACAAAAACATGTGTACAGTATGTCTGAAGTTTTCACACAAGAGAAAACTGGTTACACATGAGGCTATTCAAAAATACATCCACATTAATACAATGCTGTCAATTTATGGTATTTACATAAATTTTAAATGAATGATTCACATGTTAGATATGTATTCATCAACAAAGTACATTAAAATGTCGAGATTATTCATATATTTAAACATGACAAGTTACCACTTAATATAAAACATTAGATTGCTTAGTGATATGACAATGGCAGTACAAGGTCTAATTTAGTTTACAATATGACTCAGAGTTCATACTGCACACAAAAATAAAACTGTCAGAAATTTAAATAACATAATTTCAGGCATATTAACCTTTAAACGCCAGGCTTTTGAAATGGTGGTAAGCTTGAGCTGGCCGGAGTTTATTTAAATGACTGCTGCTGAAGCCCGTTTAAGTGTCCGTTCCTGTTAGGGCGCTTAAACAATTTTGAGCATTCTGTTTAAAAATGCTGCGTCTAACACAATTTTTATGATAAATGGATGGAATTAACTTTGTATCAGCAAAGACCATAGTGTCGCATATTACAATGGAAGATTTGAAAAATTTTATACAAAAAGTTATACCCTATTTTCAATTTTTTTTCTTTTAATTTTGCTAGTTCTTCACAGAGTTATTCTGCATTATAAATTCGTTTCCGTTTGTAACACTTGACAAATTTTACTAGTCCCTGGTGCCATAAAACAGATGGAAGCAATAAAATCATTTGGTTCTCTGCTGGAAAACCTAACATCTTTGTTGCACTCTTCAGATTTTCAAATCTTTTGACTAAATGACTGAGGAATGACAGCATGGCTATTCAAGAAATGGCTAGAGGGGTCCCTTCTTCAGTGCTAAGACCTTCCGTTATAGCTGCAAGAGATTATTGCCTTTTCTATGGGCGTGAACAGACAGCTGCATCGTGGCTGAGATACAGAGAGCGATTTGTTTTCTGTGCGTTCATAGTGAAATCGAATACCGTAGTTTCATTTCAGCCTATATATACACCAGCAGATAACAACTTTGTTATGTACATCGAATTTTACTATATATTTTTAACAAATTAATCTGCAGAATCTGCAATAAAAGTACTGGCTCGTGGATGAGTTTGGGCATAACTCATACGTATACTCTTTTTGTTCACTTAGGTATCATTTTAATTTATCGATTAGGGTTTTACCAAAGTCGGTCTGGTAATTACTAGATTTAAAAATAAATATTTAGGACTGCATGCTCTTCTACTAGCGGCGTGTGCGCGCGATTCCCTTACTCATCACCGGCCCGAACGGGTCACTTCGGACGTTAAAGATTAAAGGCCAAACAGTGAAGCTTGCTTGAAGACTAAGATGTGGTCATGAGCGTCTGAATAGGCTCTAAATTAAGAGAAAGTGACTGGCAAACCGTCAGTCGTAAAATGACTTTGAAACCAAGCAAGAAGTATAGAGGAATTTTGTAGAAACGAGGCGGTAGGATATCTGGAAGACGAAGGCTAATATTTGCCATAACCATAGTGGGCCTTTGGTAAGGCATTGGGGCACTGATGTGTGTTTCAGAAGTTACGTGCAGCTATAAACCAAGTCGTATAATATAAGGACGATCGCAGACAGGTACACCATACATGGTCTGGTGGTCTAGTGGTAAGGCACCGGCGTCGTAAATACAAGGTTAGTGGTTCGAATACAGAAGTATTTTTGTAATGAGATTTTTATGGAATTATATAGCGACATGTAACATAAGAGGAAGATTAAAGATCAAAAATTTCCGCGGCATCGGTGGCATATTGGTAAAACACCGGCGTAGTGAACAAGAGTTGGAAGGTTCGAAACCAAGTATAGTTTTGTGATTTAGAAAGTAAGTTAATTGATTTTTCTGGAATTATAGTCGAAGATGTAGCTTAAGAGGAAGATAAAAGAAAATAACTTTCAGTGGCGCTGGTGGCTTAGGGGTAAGACATCAGCTTAGTGTTCAGAAGGTCCCTGGTTCAAAACCAGTAGGATTTTTGTGAAAAATGAAATGGAAAGAAGTTAGGAGGTAGGGTAAAGGAGGAGGG